TTCGGTGCTGTGAAATGTACTCTGTTGTCTTGAATAGTACTATTGCTGCACAACTTTTTTATAAAGAGCGACAGAGCTTGTATTTTCACCGGTTTTAGATTTCAGGATCACCAGGCAAACTCAGCCATAGAGCAGCATGACTTTTGTTTTAAAGGAAAACTCTCGTATTTTGAACCATTTATATGTCTTTAAGAAAATGTTACACTCGTGCTTCCTCATCAAACACCTGTTACTGTACCAGGTGCTTTTAATTATTTTTTTTAATGGGTAATTCTTTTTTTAATAATTAAAAAAAACCATCATAACTTTGGGGGATCAAAGGTGTTTTTTTTAATGAGATGATTGTGGCAATTTGGTTTTTCAAATGGAGAATATTAATTTAGTATCAAGTTTTGTTAGACACTTTCAAATTAATTGGCCCAGGGTGTATGTTGTAAGATAATGTTCTCATATGAAGAATGTAATTATTTCCTTCTTGTATTTTTTAAAAAACAAAATCATATTTAAAAAAAAAAAAATCTCTGTGAAAAAAGCATGAAAGAAACATGAAAAAAAAGGTTTTGTTTTATTTTTGTTATTGGATATGTTGGCAGTGCCCATTATAATTGACTGTAAATATAGTCTTTCTACTGTATTTCTCAATGTATTTAAGTTTTTTGACACACATTCATGGAAACTTCTGTTAAAAAAAAACAAAAACACAAAAACAAAAGTCCCAAAATAGACCCACCTTCAAATGTGTGTCTTAGTAGCTTCAGTTAACTTTATACCTTTCTAGTTTATTCTTCAGAAAATTCTTGCAAAGTGTGAAAAAAGACTGGCACCTGGTAGGTGCGACAGATCCAAGACCATTATTAATAAAGTTACCTGTCAAGAAAAGAAAGGTTTGCGTTGTTGTTTCTTGGTATTTGTCTATGTGAGAAGTTGGTGGCACCTTAGCAGGTGTCCCACAAGTGTCAGCCTCAGCTGAGTCCCATTCTGCTGTGCCAGTCAGCTGGACAATGCTTGGACGGGTTATAATGAATATTTTTTGCTATCAGTTGTGCCCCCATTTAACTGAGCAGTGACCTTCTGCAACTTGAATGCTGTCTATCTGAGGACCCACTCAGCCATGGAAAGTGGAAGTTCAATGTATTTAGAGCTCATAGCAGCAGTTTCCTCTTGCCTTGTGTGACTGCATCAGTTTGCTTAGATGTCAACTCCATTAATAAGTTATGTAAAATGTAAAACATTAAAAATTACCCCTAAGAAATGAAAGTGGATTAAAATCAAACTGAGCTGATTACCAGGCTACTTAAAGATGAATATAGCAGTTCCTTACAGGCGACTGAGAGATGACATTGAAAAGTGTTAAGCCATAATTACTCCTTGTTTTTTTTCTTAGATTTTTGCTCTTGTTACACCACAATTATTACCAAATGTAGGAAATAGAAAATAACATTTCATTTTCCCAAACTGAGGGAAGCAATATTAGAAAGTAGTTGATTGGTTTCCTTTCTGTAATTAACAGCCTCCGAGATCAGTATGGAGATAAAATAGTTAGGTCCATGTACTGCACAGTAACAACAATTAGGGACAAAAATTCAAAACAGCAAAACAAGCAAAAAATAAACACAAAAACACAACAGAAAAAAAAAAAAGCTGGCATACTTCTGTGGTCTAAAATGTAGCAGATAGCTCTAGGCCCTGTCTGAGCTGTACAACTTGCACAAGCAAATGCTAAAAACCAACAACCACCTGCATTGCTGATACCTCAATCATCTGCTTTTGGACCTATAGAACATTATTCAAAGTCTGGGCACTGAGTGCTATAAATAAATAAACTCTACAGGTGGTGGTACAAGGGGCATAGCAACCTCTCCAGACAAGAAAAAATACTATTGATCTTACAGTGAAATTCAAGGGGAAAACAAAGATAAGGTCATTCCTGGTGGGGGGTGGGGGGGAATCTTGAGGAGGGAATGGACTACATTAAAAGGTTATAAAAATGGGGGGTGAAATAGTCCCTGTCACTAAGAGTACAAACTATAAGGGTGTCAAAATTATTGGGCAGGTTCAAAATAACTGCGCAGAGGTGCTTGCACTCACTGCCCAATTCAGCTACAGAACTTGTCACTGAATTTTACAGATGCTAAAAGCTTATATGGCTCCATAAACAATAAACCAAATTCATGGCAGAAAGTAATTACTGAAGGCTATCAAACAAAAAGCTACCTGCTTTGAAGCACAAAGGTCCAACTCCAGGGTAGATGGAGGCTGGAAGCATGTTCTGGTTTAGGGTCTTCATGTGCTTCCCCCTGTTCCCCTGCCATATTGCTGTTGATAAATGAAACTTTCACAGAAAAATATTTTGTTTTTTCCCCACCTTCTATAAAACAATATTTTTCTCAATTTCACTTTTAAAGCAAGCAGCTGTCTTAAGATCAAGGCAATGCAATACTATTCCTTCACAATTTATTAAATAACTGAAAAAAATGAAATCTTATCAAGGATATTCCTCTTCAGTGATGACAAAGAAATAATTTTCCCATTAATTTTTGTAGAATTATAGCACAGTAGGATTACAGCTACATGGTCCCAAGTTGAACATGAATGAAAATCTTAATTCCTGGTTTAATTATTTATTTTTAAATAGACTGTTAATTGCTGTCACTTAATTATTGCTTAGGATTTTTAACATGCTTTTTAGCATGTACTGCTCATCTTGAATTTTTTTGAGATCAGCTTTTGCTATAATGGTGTAATGGTGAGAATTGATCCTTTTATCACTTTCAAAATACACTGAACAACATCTGTAGCATTTTGCTTCAGCTTTTGAAAGCCATGAGGGTCAGAATGCAGTATCATTCTCACCACAGCAGATGAATTCATAAGAAAGCAAAGCATCTTTCAAGGTATAAATCACAAAAAGAAAAAAAATGGAAGAGAAGTCAGTGTCTTAATGAAAAACAGGAAATAATACTGGCTGGTGTTTGTGCCTCAGAGCATTATTATAGAGCATATTATAGAGACATAATTTATGATGATGTTGAAACCAGTTAAACTACAAAATAGTCGAGCAATTAATATGCCTTTGATGAGGACAGCAAAGAAAACAGAAGTGAAGTGATTATCTTAATTCTTTTTTCCCACAGAAATTGGTTTCTGAAGTAAAGTAGCCCTTCAGGTTAAGTATTAAAAAGTTTCATTTGGTGTCTCATTTATGGGAACAGCTTGGCTGTGTTTGTTCTCACTCCTGCCCTTCCAACTCAGGAGCTTTCCTTGGAAAGAACTGTTGGAACATCACTAAAAATAAGCAACTTTAGGGTTTCTTTTAGTTTTGCTTTTATTTATATCAGAGCACTAAATTTTGAAAATGAAATGTTGTCACTTGAGATTCAACAGGCTGCTTTTGTAGAGATAAATTGCAGTTTAAAGTCTCAGCTAGCCACAATATAGGATTAGAGAACCTAAAATGACAACCACTGAAATGTTTCCTAGCTGAGCTACACAAGTAGGGAAAGCCTCAATCTTCATTTCTGAACCCAGCCTCACATTTAGCATGGTGTGCCACTGGGTAGAGTCACACAGCCCACACCACAAAGTTCCTCCAGCTGCCAGATCTTTCAGAAGGGACCATGAGAAAGTGCTGAACTAGGGCAGACTTTAAATTTCGATCCTCAAAGTATATCCACTCTGTGAATAAATAAAACATTTGTTGTCCTATTAAAACTTCATTGTAGTCTATAAAATTTCTATACCTAATTAAAAAAAAGGGTAGATAATAATTTATGTTGCTGCTTTGTGCCAGGTTGAGGTTTAATAAGACTTCACATTGCATATCCACAACACTTAGCAACATCTCTGCTCTTCCCTATTGAGGACAATAGGTGGTGAAAAGAACCATCAAGTTTTTATTCTACCAGTGTCAGACTTTCCATGGAAAGGCCAAGGTGCTGTATCAAGCTGCAAAGCAGCAACCACCTCTCACCAACCCTAAACATGAGCTACCCCAGTAGCAGTTCACCTCAAGACTCTGAAGCACGAAGGAACGTCCAGATTGCAGGGACACAAGGCATATTATGACTTTAGCAATTTAGTGACCTTTGCAAAGGCAGGGACCACTTACCAGGACCAGTAAGAGCAAATCTGTAGGACACTAGGGCCAAACCTTTTTAGAAATGCACTACATAATCACGCATTTCATTTCCAAGGACTGTAGGCAGAGTGAAATAGGTATCGTATGTCTTTGCTGGGCACGTCCAATGGGCATAATTCTGAAGATTTTGTCTTGGCTGGCTTTGTATGGGCTTGAATATAATTTGTAGCTCCAGTTTTATTTTGAGTCAAGGCCTGATCCTTGCATACAGCTACAGCTGACTTAAGGACAAATTTTGACTTGCAGACCCCTCAGTTTTGCAAGGTGAATGCAGCTTCTATATAGCACAGCCAATTCCTTGGGAAGAGAGTGGGAGAAAGACAATGCAGTTAATAAACAAAAAAGAATAAACAAGGAGCAAGTAGTGTGTAAAGCCAGTGAAAATGGAAGAGACTGGAATAAAGGCATGGGAGGGGCAGAAGAACACATATAACTTTGTTCTGTTGATGGTGGTCTATTACAGGGAGAGGTCGAAACCTGCTGAATTCTTTAATTCTTTAGCTGGATAAAAATGTTCAGCCTCTGATTCAGTGGAGTTCTAGAACAGCAACTGCATGGCTTCAGTCTCACCACAGAGTGTCACCCTCCACCAGTTATACTGCAAAAACTCCACTTCTAGGGAAAAGTGGAAAAAGGATTTTCCCCTTTTTTCCTAGCAATGGACTTAAACTGCACTGTAGGAGAATGGAGTGGCTAAAGAGGAGGAGGATGAAGGTTTGCTGCAGCCTTTGAGTTCATGCTGCTGAAGGTGAGTAGTTTTACTGCTAGTTACTGACAAAACACACAAACTCTGTGGACTGGTTAAACCATTTCCCCTCCACAAACGCCATGAAGTGCTTCACAAGAAAAACAAAGCAACCAATAGTTTAGAACCAAATTTTATTAAAGAAAAACCTGGAGTGCAGGTTCTCAGGACAAATGCATACCTTTGGATGCAGTGGAGTACACAGGTACGTATACAGTAGTTTGCCTGCTACATGTTTGGAAGCTGAAAGAGACCGTGATAATCTGTACTGCACAGTTCATCACCATTGTTAAAAGTTGCCAAAAAGTCGGTAGTGGATCACTAACAGATACTCGGTTATGTGTGTGCACTACATATTGCACAAGACTTTTTGATTAAGCTATTACTTGTGCAATTGAATCACAGTTAAGTGTTACGTCAAGCATATTCAAACATATATTTGTTTCTTTTTCTCAAAAACAGCACGTCACTACAAAACTGCCATTAAATGTTACATATTTACAAAAATATACAAATAACACTTTTCCCCATTTATGACAATGCACCAGTTATGGATTAATTTCATTCTTCCCTTGAGCCCTGATACTGTATACAAAGAAACCTGCTTAAAGTCAAGGTCACCTGAAACAAAATTAGGAGAAGGCATGTTCTGTTTTCACAAATATTAGAATGTGCAAAGGCAGAAGGAGAGGACTGTGTAGTCATGTATGTTAAAGGTATGGACTGTAAGATACTGATGACTGCTAAGAGCCTTTACATGGATTGGAAGAGCCCCTTTGTCAGAAATCCAGTTAGATACACTGTTAAGCATTTGCTGATCAAGCAGTCACAAGTATTAAAAAAAACAAGTTCTACCTTAGTTGTAATTAGCTTACATCTATCCAAAGTACTCTTGTGCTAACCGTGGGAATAAGAATTACAAAGAAAATCCGTTGGTCACCTGTGTGAGTACGGGTGCAGTGGGAAGATGACTGATTTTAACCTGCAGCTGCATTTCAAATTCACTGCGGGTGAAATTCTTCTGTAACACAAAGCTGAAATGACAAAGTCCATGGAACTGTTTGGTCATAAATTAGGGTAGAATTTGGCCCTGCAATGCTAAATAAATTATGTTCCACATTAACAACAGGGTAGCAAGAAATGCTTTGTGGATCTTCACAGGACATATGTCTAGCTTTTATTTTATTTGCTCTCAAATATTTACAAAAAGCTATAGCTCTAATTAGCAAAAAAAAATATGATTTTGGGCTTGGTTTAATTACCATTTTTTTCTCCTTTTGTTCACATGGGTAATGCCAGCAAAATCTATATTTATTTGTCCAAGTCTGGATTGAGAGATTTTGGACCCACCTGTGCTGAAACAGCCACAGATGTACTGTAAATAAGCCATTTTTCATCCTTTACTCTTAAAATGGAAAATTTTCCCATTCCAACTTGCATTATCTCTCAAAATATTCCTCCAGTCTAGGATGGACTGATAGTCCTAGTGCAGCTTCATAAATACAGAGCAATGATACTAAGATAATTTCATTTAGGTGAGAAAGGGACTTGATGTCTCCTAAAACCACACTTGCAATGCACTAGGGTGATTTTCTTTAAAACCACCTTCTGCAAAGAAACCTATCGAAGTTTAATGGAAAAGTAAATCATAGGAGGTGTACATATTTGTAAAAATAAGTGGTAAGTAAAGCACAAAAGTGGAAGCTTTCCAAAGCACTCTGCCAGATGATCCAGTTCCCCACCTCTTCCATCTGCTATCCTGCTGCAAACTTCTTGTATTTATTTTTCCTCAGCCACACAGAAAACGATGAAAATTAGTTAATCCCCTTTTGACATCAACCCAGCTTATTGGCAGAATGACAGTCAGAGAAAAGCAACTCAGAATAGACTGGGATCAAGAGAGAATTCAAGAATACTTCTCCATTTGATTATGTTTTCCCTCCAGAGCCTTCTGCACTGCAGCAAGCACAATCCATGACTTTACACTCAGGAGGAAATAAATCACAGCTTGTCAGTGACAGATGAAAAAAAGGAGCTGTACTCAAAGGCCTGGTGTGTATATGAAATGGAGGAACTCTCTGTTCCTAAAATTAAAATTTCTAGTCACATGTTCAGTAAACTCCAGTTGCTGGTGGTTACCCTCAGGAATACTATACCAACTCCATTCATCTTCTCTAAATATTATAAAATTACAGCTCATGGAGGTATTCTAGCAAATCACATTTAAGCAGTATAAATCCAAGACAGAGACTCTATAAAGTAATTTTCCTCCCTTGCCTTCTAGCTCAGTGCTGTGCTAGGGGAGAACACCATTAGCAAATGACCCACAGTCCTCCCAGAAGTAAACCTACATTGGAGCTACCTCTGGAGGACACATAAAAGCAACCTGGCTCCTGGGAAGCAACCTCTTTTCCATGCGCCCCAGGTGAGATGTTGCTGCGAGTCAGATCTGTCTTAAATTATACGTAGAAGTGGTGATAATTTCACATATTCCTAGCACTGCATCAATTTATACTCATGGTTTAAAGTCTCTATGCATCAAAAAAACCCTGCAAACAGTTGCCATTACAAATTAAAGTAAGCTTCAAGGCTTGCACAAAACAAAACCAAAAACTCATGGTAAAATCATACACACTGGTAACACTTTCTCCCTGCTTTTCCTTGTCCTATTTAGTCCCGTGTTCCCCTCCCTCCCTCCCCCATCTCTCTTACATACACTCCCTCTCTAACACAGACCCTACCCTTCAAAGATACTGCTGAGGTTTTCGATTATCTTATTCCCATTAACTTCTCAAAGTTCCTCCAATAAGATGATTCTGCCAAATCTACTAGATGACTTCGCTTAAACTTGTATTTTATGGAACTTGAAAGCAAGTCATTTGCTCCTGTCTCTTGGAAAGGCTGCATACAGACCCGTTCCACAACCTGTCGAGTCAAATTGCTCCCAATTCTCTATTAGCAAAGGACCCTCTTTACCTCACCTTTTCTTCAGCTTGAGGTTGTAACAATTTCTCTAAAAGGCTGTGCATGATCTTGGGCCTCAGCATCTCCCATACTGAAATACAAATGCAGCCCAGTGGTCTGGCAAGGTGCCTCTGCCCAACCTTCCTGCAATTCTGCAGGAATTCCTGCCAGATCGCAGGGCTGGCAAAGCAAGCCAGGAAACTCATGCGAACACCATGTCTCATCCCCATAACCCAAAAGGAGGAAGAAAAAGGCATTTTGGAGATAATAGATATAGCTGTCTGCCAATTAAATATATAATTTCACTATAGACCAATGGCAAGGTCAATATGTACACTGATGAGACAGGAAATACTAGTTATTTATTCCTTCAGGGAGTACAACACTCATCCACATTTCAAACTAGAAGCATGTGCTCTCTGGGACAAACATCTGAGAGAAGTTCTGGAAAGGCAAAGGATAAGAGTTCCAGAAAGATTTAGAGAAAATGAGAGCCAAAATTAAAACTGAAAGTATTAAAAGATACCAAAGTGGGAAAGAAAGAGGAAGGATGGACTGCAGCGAGACAAATCATAGGGAACCTCATCAACCCAGATAATACAGCAGGGCTCAGAGGAAAGTCAAGGAGGGGGAAGAGATCATGATTCTTCTTGCTATCACTCAGGATACAGTAGGGTGCATATCCAAATAAAAACAGAGACAGAAACAGAACATAAAGCAAAACAAAAAGCAAGGAAGAAAAGGTGGACTGCAGAGAACTGATCAGGAAGAGAAGGCAGGCAAGGCAGAGCAAAAAAGAGCAGCAATAATGAAAAAGAACAAAAGGACTACAAAAGGAGGGGGAAGAAGGGGGGAGAAACAGAAGAATTTTTTTTTTTCTATAAAGTGTCACCAGTTACTTAGCAAAATATTGGAAGAATTAAACAATGCAAGGGACTTCTCTGAAGAGTTCAGCATCTCAAAAGATTAACCCCAAAGAGAGGAGTGTATTCACAAGCAAATGGAGCCAGTGAATTGGGCAATTGCCTTACTATCTTGTTTGCGAAGATATTCTGTAATATTAACCATTTAAATGCTCTGCTGTGAATCTGAGACTTACAGGTGGTGTATTATAATATTCTCCTTTAGTCTAGTTTTACCATTTGAAAATGGTCCACGTGCATGTTACTGATGTTTGGGGTTACACGTCTTCTTCTGCACAGTCTATTCTTAATCCATAACAAGAATATCTCAAAAGCCACATGGATATAAGCCAGCTGTTTTTCTGTATGAGCTGTCCTTGTTAAAAATATCTTTTTCACAATTTCAGAAAGATTTCCTTTTATAAACTGTTTTAATCAATAAGCAGTGTGAATTAATACTTCTTTTTTAAAGCAAATGTGAATAAGCCAATTCATGCGCTTTGATCTGCAAGAGCAGACACTGTCAGTAAGAACTAAATATAAGTATCAAAAGCTGGTTAAAATTAGCAACAAATAACATAGAAATATAAGACAGGCTAAGAAAGTTATTTGGAACGCCTGGCCTTCCTGGTATATATTCATTACGCCATTAAAAGTATGTGCCAAAAAGGCATATTATTTAAGCAGTGCCATGTACTGCTGCGTCTTATTGCTGCTCAACAGGGCTTTATGTCTACTGTATTGCAAGTAATCATTGTAAAGATGTAAATTCTACAGAAACTCAGAAATCAAGTCTGATCAATAAAGCTGAAGTTTGTGTAATGCCTTCAGGTGTTGCAAGGAAATAATATTAAGCAAAATTACTTGTGTAAAGGAAGAATCTACTTATTGTCAGGGCTAGTAAATGTCACTTCTAAAAGAAAATCAATCTGGAAGGACAGAGAGACAAAGAGTTTGCAATTAAGAACATGTATTTTTAGAGATACTATTAAAAAGTATTTAATAGAAACCATAACAGCCCTTTGATAAGGATTTTGTTCACACAGCTATGTCATATATCATTTTAGAGTATATATTTCTAAGCCTTCCAGCATTTCTTGTGTTAGATACTGTCTTACAGAAGATCATCTCAGCTACCAGCACATAAACTACCTGAAAACTCTAATGATGACAAGCTTCACATAAGGAAAAAAAAGGAATCAAAAGAATGAAAGTCATACATGGCTCCACAATTCATATTGTAAGTAATCTGCTACTCCATTTAACAGGAGGAAAAAGGACGGGAATGAAGACTTATGGAAATGAGATCTCACATATTAAAACTGATATAACTAACTTGCCGTATGTATCAGTTTCAGTGGAAAAACATTCAAAGAGGAATGCATTCTTTAGCCTTCAGAGCAGCCTGAAGTACCATTACAGGTTCTTCTTTCCCTGTTGGTAAGTATCCTCTCTGCTTATGCAACATATTTGAAAAGAGGGGAAAAATAAAAACTTTGTCTGCATGATGTTCCCATTCAGACATGGGAAATGAACTGTTCTAGTCCACCTCGACACAGAGAAACCCTTCTGCACCCCCTCCAGCTTGAGGTTACACAGAGAATTGGAGGCAATGCTGCCAAGGTGATCAATCAGGTAGAAGGGCTAACGGGATAGAAGATTAAAAAATTAAGAGTGCACAGCTTGACATTTCCCAAAGACTGCAGGGTTAGGCTATAAATTGCAAAAGCTAACTGAGAGTCTAAGTTATTTGTCACTTTGCTGATTATAGACTAAAAAAAAGTGAAAACATCACAGGAATAAACATGCATTTAAATGGCACTGAAAGGGTTAATACTGAGATACTGAAAGGAAATAAGGAACATGAAAATACAAACGACATTAAGAAAACGATCTGAGCAGACCTACTTACAGTCAATTAAATGATATTCTAATGAAAGTTTTAAAAATACTTTCTCAGACTAGTATGATTAGGCTATATGCCACTCTCTTGAAGAAAGTTGTAGAAGCAATGTGCAGCTGGGACTAGAACAGAGAAAATGAGCTGGGAAGCAGCTTTTTGGATGGACTTATAAGACACAACAAATTTTGCATCTTAAAAATCAATGTTTATAAAGGTAAATGCTTATAAATTTCTTCCTGGTGGAAAGCCAATATTTTGAGAGAAATGAGCACTTACTTTTGTCTAAAAAGCTGAAATAAAAAATGAAGATGGAAACAATAGAGTGGTATCAATCAATATACAATAAAACAACTATAATAACTTCAACTGACAGGGACCGTGCAATGAAATAAAATTCTTAGTTTCTCTCCCCCCCCACCTCCAAAGTCTCATTAGTGAAAAATTACAAAACTTCTTCTATAGGAAACATAGGAAAAATCTATGACTGAAATTGTCATCGATTCTATCAAATTAGCAACATTGTATTTGACTTGAAATAACACTAGAAATTCAAAGCTTATCAGCTTTGATGATGAACCAGTGGTTCATCATCAAAAAGTTACTGCAAACAATGCATGTATTTAATTTCTTATAAATATTTTCTTTTTTTCTTTTTCCCAAACATTTCTTTGAGCATGTGTTTGTGTAAGGAGGACGGAAACTACTGCAGATCCATTCTATTGACCTCTATTAAAGATAAAGCATACAGTAAGTAGAGCATTCCCACTAAAGGGATGTCTCCTTGGACTTAAAACACAGCTAACCAGGATAATCATGTCATATGAAACCTGCTTTGCACGAGGAACTACCATTGGCAAAGGACTGATCTGTATTTGTCTAGAGGACAGTAACTTAACCAATCATCTACTTTACATGAATAAACAGTTTACTCCTCTTTACACCAGTCATCAAAAGAAGAACACTCATCAAGAGGCATATAATTCAATAAGAATATCATAAAATAATTCCAAGAAATTGGATTTGAATTGGAGATAACAACATCTTGCCTCAGGCTGGTACCTTCTATTTCTTCACAGCCATTTCCACCACCCTCTTCTACAGAGTACAAAAATACACTGGTTTATATTGCTTTACTTTTGAGAAATTAATTAACATTGTGTGGATTTTCCTTAAATGTCCTTTGAGCATTTCTGAGTACTTTATATGGATGGACCATTCGGAATCCATATAAAACATTCAATGTCAAAAGGGAAAGCAAAGGTAACAGCTGTAAATCTTGACAGATCTGTTAGAATCCTTCAGATCATACTGTTTGGAGCACTCTGAAAAGTACAGGGTGTGTTTGAATCTGCAAATACATCAGAGTTTAAGAAGGACAAGGATGCCAATGAGGCCAGTGCACTGCCAGTTTTGTTGGTTTCAGTATAGTTCAATATCAGTGCTGATAAATATCACTGTACCCATTTTTATATGGTTTTTGATCAAATAACACTGAAGAAAGGTAAGTTGAAGATATTACGGTGTAACAGCAAAATCATAGCCAATGTTGTAGTGCTACCACATAACCATATGTTCCAATAACAGTGTTTAAATAAAATTTTTTTTTACCAGTGATGTACCTTTTTTGGATTATGCTTTTTTTTTTTTTAATTTATACATAATTGCAGCTGGTTTCAGTAGACTACTTTTAAGAACAGTAATAATTACAAGTAAAACAAAGAAAGTGAAACCATTAATACTTTATGCTCACAAAATTCTTTGACTGTGATGATCCTGAACTAACAGTAATTAATTTCGCCTCACAATACCCCTGTGAGGTAGGTAATTACTATCTGCCCCATTTTATAGGTGGGGAAACTGGGGCATGTACAGGTTAAATAACTTGCCCAAAGTCTTTACTAATAAATTTGATTAACATGTAAAAATACTGCATGTGTGTGTGCATGCATGTGTAACTAGCACTTGTGCATAGAAGCAACTATGTTTCTGAATACACATGTATCAGGATTTTAGATTCATCTAAAGGATAAAATGGTAAGATATCATGAATGTAGTTCAAGAGATTTGAAATCTAGCGCTAGAAAATGGTAATAGTATTTTCTCAGTTTTAAAATAATTTGTTTTAAAGTTATTCTTGCTGGGAAATCAAGGGCTTCCTTTATTATCTGCTGGGTATTATTAATAAAGTTACAGCAATACCAATATCTCTTTAGAAAACAGTGGTTTTGAGACATGACAAACCAACCTCACAGGAGTAGTGCATGAATCAAATTAATTAGCATCGAAAAACATTATTACAGGCACTATATTGTGCTAAGTGTTAATTAGAGTACCAAGCAATATTCTACTGTGTTCCAAAAGACTCCTGTGATCAGAGACACAAATCAGCCTGAATTAAATGTATAAAAGTAGCTGTTAAAGCATAAATTAGATGTGTGACCTAGTTCCAATAGAGTCCTTTGCCAATCAGACTAACCATGTAGAACAATCCCAAGCTAGAACTTCCATCCCATCCCTTTCCATGAGGGTGGTTTGCCACTCACCTGCCCTATACAAATAACCCACTTCAGATTTTATTTCACAGGAACAAGTAAGATGTTTGTAATACTATTTTATTCTCTGTCCAGCTCATTCCACTTGTTTCTTCTAACAAGGAGAGCTGGTGAGGAGGGGAAGCCCCTGCTGCAACAATCCTGAGAGTTTCCAATGCACAGCACATTTTGTATTTGCACTTCTCTTCAAGAAACTCAGACTCAGACACCTTTAAGACCTTGGATTTCCACACAGTCTGGCATACAACAGTCAAATGCAGCAGTATTTCTCTGTCAATAAATTTACATGGCACTATACAACTAAATAGGCAGAAATTTTAAAACAATTTTTGAAATTATTTTCCTGAGCAGTTTGCAAGTGCTTTTCAGAATCTTCACTCTAACTTTTCCACCTAGTTCCTTACAGTAAGTTTATAAGCTAGATTTTCTTGTGCTTTACACATACATCTTATGGGGTTTGTGAGAGCCTACAGTACTACACTGAATTATTACACCCCAGTCCGTTGCATTTGATTATAATATGCTCTAGGATATCCACAGCTACATGGAAGAATGACTCCAATGCATACAATAATTTTAAGACAGTTCTTTTCTATTTTACTATCATTCATTATTTTCTGTTTGTTTATTCTGGATGATGTAATTAGCTATCTGTATACTTCTTAAACAAGGTGGTGTGCGAGCTCATCCCTAGCATCAGTATGACATTCAGTGAGTACAGAGTTATTTATTCTCTAAAGGCAAGAAGTAAAGAGATTATACAGGTTTCTGAGAGAAGCATCCTAATTCCAGGCAATGTGCCACACACCCCACACCCCCCCCTTTAAGCTCATCACACCACATTCAGTTTCCTACAAGGCGACATTAACCGCAGAGAAAAGACAAGAGGGGTGTGGATTCACTGCGCTGCCGTTCCCTAGGGATGCAGAAGTCAAGACTAGGAAACTCTGACCCAGCTCACAAAACTGGGATTAGGAAACACTGACCTGACTCACCAGCCTTTCTGCAGGCAGCTCCTCCAGAAGCCCCTCCCTCCCCTCTCTTGCCCTCCCTGCAGGAATAGGGGCTAGCGGTGGTAGGGACTGAGTGACACCCTGTGGTGATGGGAAGGAAATATGAACCCCTAAATCCCATCCCATCCTCTCCATGACAATTCAGATTGTCAAACTAACCCTAGTGGAAAAGGTCAGAGTTTGCCCACTCCAACCCGCAAGGGCAAAGATCCGGAGGAAATCTCAAACAGGGATGCAGTGGGAAGGAGATGGTGGCGCTACCCAGCCATTCCTGGAGGAGAGCTCTGACCTATCTGGCACATCTGCCCAAACAGGAAATTTAAAAAAAAAATAACCATACAAAGAACGTGACTTAAAAGAAGTATTTACACTCTCTGGAAATTTAAAAAGAGACAGGCCACTAGCACAGGGTTTTACAGGATAACTCATCTGGCATCTGCCATCATCCTGGAGGTGCTCACTCAGGAGAAAGGAGAGAGGAACTGAAATGACTGTCTGCAAGTGAAGGCACCTGGTCTGGAAATAGCATCAAGCTGGTGTTTTTCTTTCACCCAGGGTGGGACTGGAGGAGATACTGGTGCTGATAGTTTGTCAGGACTTGCTACACTTACAAGAGCATGATCATATATTATGAGATATCCTAATTAACATTTTACTTCCTTTAATCCACAGAAGGACCTAAGCCTAAATTCATTAGATTGTCTCACACATGTTTAAGTTAAGAGTTTGTCTCAACTAGGAGTGCATTTGTCTCTCACTCAGTCCTTTCCCAGCACAGAAACACTTGGCCTCCTAAAAAAATTGTCATTGTGATCAACCAACCATCTGTTCTGGTCTAGTCACTTGCGTAAAAATCACCTTTCCAGGATGAAGAGTCCCAGCCTTCTGCTGAATACCTCAATTAAAAATATAATTAAAAAGTTACAGTCAATCATTCTAAAAATAAACATAAAGAAATAGAGCATAGACAGAAAAGAAATAAGGTGGCATTGAAGGTACCTAGGACTACAAATTTGCTACCATAGTTTGAGTTTCAATCGTGATGAGTTCCCAGGCCATAGAGTGAACACGACATATCCTTCACTCTTGGTAACTGAAGATGGATGCTTTTTTCCACAGGACTGGTATGAAACCTCCTCTCCATCAGCATTTACAGCCATATTTGCAATTTTGTGACATCATCAGGGAAAAATAAAATGGTACAGAGAAGAGTCTTTCGGGTTTTGTGTTCAGCTGCAAATATCAGCTAACCAGGTAACTGTGCATCTCTCTGGAGTTGATGCTCAAAACCACGCCTGAGTGATTGCCTATGAAAATATAGAAACAAAAGGCCAACATTAGTGTATTTCAGGTACTCCACAATAAATCCCCCTTTTATTGCAGGGACAAGTCAATTGCATAAGAGAGTGACTTTATCAAACAACAGGTCAGGTGAAGGTTGGTGCAACAGCTCCATGTACCTACAGCACACTTTTGCGCAAAGCTTTTGCTCATGATGGTGGATTTGTGGTGAATTCCTAGGGTTTCTATCCCAGTGACAGCATAAGTTGGTTCTCTGTGTGGCTTATAAAGGTGTAGTTGTCTCGAGGGGTGCAGGTGAGGGAGGAGAATGGAACCTGAGGCGTCCATTCGACATGCCACTGACCTGGGACTGGACACTGACCGGCATCAGCAATAAGGGAACTCTGTAGCTGTTCAAGCTGCCACTTCTCCCAGAAGGAGTCACTGCAAGGTAATGGTGTTGAGGAGTCCCAAGGTGGGGGTTGCGATAAAGTAGGCAACATAAAATATATAGAAAACAAAAAAAGTGGATGGGTGAGTCTGGAAATACTGTACTGTGGAAATTCAAAAGTTACGAGAAGAGAACAAACAGAAACCCAGGCCTGTAACTCCCTCCTGTGCATGGAGTGGAGGCGGCTACTGACATCTCCAACAGGGGGGGAGAAAGCTCACCAGAACTAGAAGGGATCTCCATAGCATAGGAACCTTCTGCAAATCATGTCGTACACCACAGTTTAATATAAAGCAGGGATTAAAACATGTTTCATACTCTAGCCAGATAAAATAGAGTATCATTAACAGGAATATTTTCTTGGCAGAACTGAGCAATACTAGAGCTAGTGGAAAGTATTGCAAATAACCAAACAGTAGGGCGAGCGGGAGTATAGTTTTATGTCTTAAATAACATATTCTGTCTAAAAGCTGTACAGTAGGTGACAAATATGGATGATTATGATCCACAGAAATGAGCTCTTTACACTCTCCTAGAAAGGCTGCTGGTGCTGACATCCTGGCAGAAGCACAAATCACCTTGAGCTATGCATTTGCTAACTGTCTTATGTCATCAAAACATCATGATCTTGTACTCTTTAACCCTAAAATAATGCTCTGCCCAGATAGAAGATTTTTGTTTTCTCTGTGTAATGAGTGCAGGGCAAGCAGAGATTAATTCTGAATGTGTTACAAATCAGGGTAGCATTTCTTTATTCCAGCATCCCAAGCTGCCTGGTTTTTTTAATAGGCCATAAGGGATTTTCTACCATTAAAAGTTATGCTTTCGTACATTACTAGAGGTGTTTGAATGCTCCACTTTAATAGGCATGTCTGCAAGGACTTTGTTAGCATTCAGCTTCTCTTCTAAAGACCCTGAAGATGATCTCATCAAACAATTTTAACACAGACTTTGTTTTTCAGGGCTGTTTTTGGGACTAACTCCAATAAAGTCAGGAGGGCAACCAAGGTTGTCTTGCAAAATCAGAATGAAAACACAGTGATACTCATACACAAAGGTTGTCAAAGAGGAGATAGAAATATACAAAGCAAAGCAAGAGGCTGGATTCTTCCCTTGTGTTCAAAGCTAACACCTTCAAGAACTGAGAAGTGGTGCATAGTTCAGCAAGTGAAAATAAAGACATCAACAACAAACAATAAAGGTGAAACCCAAGATAAAGAAATCTCTCCTCTGACCAGGTTCTGTCTTCCCCAGGCTACCTCTGGTGCAGCTAAAACACATCGTCCATGGAGTTCATGAAGACATTACAGTTGCCTTACACACCACGAATCTACTACTACAAATCCCAAAGGCTTTAGGTTATCTGATTTATTTTCACAAAACGTGCAGAAATGGAACTGGGTGTTTTTTACATTGTCCTACATTTTTCAGACTGTGACCTGAAAGCAGTCTGAACAAAATGTAAATTTTACAATAAATTAACTTTATAGATCAGCACCCCGTGTTACATTAAAACTACCCACAGGGTGCCAGGATACACACTTCCACCTGACATTGAAATCGTATCTGAGAGATACTCACAGAAAGTTTCCCTTGTGGCTTCCTTACAACCACCTCATGAATACTAAGAAAGTCAATAGCTAAATTAAGGAAGACTTATGATACTTTTTATACATGAATAAATTTAATGTTTCTAATCACAAAAACCTTAAATGCCACTGGAATATGAAGGCAAATATAGCAATGGATCTCCATACAATCCATCTGAAATCATAGAAGCATTGACTCTACAAATCCTTCTGGCCTAAACTCAATTTTCTACTAATTCTGGAAATTACTGAGTGAATTCAACTGTTGCAGATTATATCCTATTCTCCCAAATATAATTTATCTCTAAAATTGTCCAAGTCAGTCTCCTGATATTAAACTACTATCTCTGTACTCATGCTCTATATAGCATATCATCCATACACTAGCTTGTATATCAAGCAAGCCAAAAGAAGGTGACTGAGATAATCCCTTGTTAGTGGTGTTACCATTTGTGTCTTCCTGAGACTGAATAGAAAATGAAAAAGAGCTAAAAGGAAAACAATCAATTACTTATGAAAATTTATAAACTAAAAACGAAGTTACCTCTTGCGTTACCTAGTGTTTGAGAGTCCAGATCATCATCAATAAACTCCTCACCCTGGATGATGTTCTGGGTGTCCTCACTGTGATTAACAGGGCTTGTCATCTCCTGCTCTTTTTCATTGTGCATCTGGGCGTAGACATTTCTGCCTGGCAGTTTCCTAAATCAGACAAGGAGAAAAAATTTTGTGATGGAGTTCTTTTGTGTCACACACATGCTGGCATCAGAGTAGAGCTCCAGCAGGTCAAAATCATTCCAGAATCAAAAACATTACCACTCGCTCCTTTCCTTAATTTTGTGATCATGACCTAAACTTATCAACTCCTTATTCTGGGTTACAGCTCTCTGTAACCACCTTATCACGATGTTCATACCAACATAATAATTAAGCATCAATTTATCACCAAGAATGACAGACAATGAACAATGCTGAAAAAAATACTAAAGGCACAGAAAAACTGTTTAAAGAATTCAAGCAACAAAAAGGCCCAACAAGCATTCATTCCTGGTCCCAGGTGTCTTCACAAACATTAGGCTGGATTGCAATCATCATCACATCTCCCTGGTGAGGTGGGTTGACGTTAAAGTGTGATAGCATCAAATGGCACTAGTAGTCATCAGGGTGGCAGAGAAAGAAGCAGGAGAAGTCCAGGAGAGAGAGAGTGGAAAGAGAGCAGAGAATGAAGAACCGGGAGGCCAAGACCAAGGGGTAAGGAGTAAGAAGGTAAACAGGCATCAATAATGGCACAAGACAGGGGAGGTTGGTGAAGTTAAGCAGGCAGCACTGAAGGAGATAGAGTGTAAAGCTTGGACTGGGAACTAATGAATTAGACAAAACTCTCTATAGGAGACAACATTAAATTCACTCATTCTGACTGTAATGAGAGAAACAAAAAGCATGTTATTAAATTACTCTAATGAACAACTAGCACCATGGCTGAGATCGGGAGGCTTATGACTTAGTATTGATAAAAAGTTCTTAACCAGATAAACTTAAATTAGACTTCGTAATATCAAAGGGAAAAATTAGGGACTTCTAACTTTGCAACACAGTTTATGGTTTAAACATTTATCAAGAGTCACACCCTTTGTGCTGCAGCTGTGCTCACCTGCAATCTGCCTGGGCACATAAGGACATCCTTTCCTAGGCACCAACCAGACACTTCAGATTTGGGAGCTGCAGGCCATAAACTCCGTTTCCTATAGTGCAAGAAGCAGCTTGACAGCTTGATCAGTATGACAGCAGATCATGGCTGTCAAAGTCTGTGCTTAAACACAGATTATTGCAATGGGCAGACAATGAGAAGAAAAGAGAAAACAGGGTTGAAGTGCTGAGGTTAAGCTGCAGTTTCTGTTGAGCTCCTTTAGACAGTGAGAAAACAGAAAAAGTGACACTAATTTTTAGGTTTCTCTCTAAAAACAGCCATCAGCTGCTCTATATTCCGGCAGTTGAAAAGTTTGAAAGCTGAATAAATAAACAGATTGCTCTGTTTTCTCTAGGCTTTTGAAGATGACCTGTCTTTAGATGTAATTTCAAAAGAAGGTGTCTTTAGCAGATGGCACCATCTTAGTTTGAGATAAAAGTTACTGCAGCAAGCTATTCTAAACAGTACCTTCCATTGTGTCAAAGTAATTTAAATAAATGGAAATTGCTAAACAATGAAAGATGACTGAAGACAATCTCCTCTCTTTAATTTGAACAATCCAAAAGATGAATTGCATCCTATATACCTACACACACACAAAAAATTATATATAGATATATAAATTAGGCATTTTATCCCATTATTTATAAGCAGTACAAAGAAAGAAATCTGATTGTTCTTGCTCTTTTCTGTATCTCAGTGAAGATGGGGTAAATAAAGCACAGGACTAGCCAAAGTTGTACAGATGGTCTGATGACACAATGTTCTGTTATTATAATAACTTCAACAGGTCCGACACAAACATACACATAAAGCCAAGTCCTGCATCATTCTCCTTCCATTACATGGATAAAAAAAGCCATGTTTAAAGAGGGAAGGACATTTCTCATTACCAAAACAAATACATTAGGTAATTAATTTTGATTTTTTTTCTCCAGGGCCAGTAACTCCAGACTGTTTTTAATGTGTCTGGTAATGAAACTAGTCGTTTGGAAAACAATATTCTCTCAATCAGACCTGCATCAAACCTGTCAAATTGCTCACTTTCAGTCCACCAGCAAATGCCTAAGGGAGACAAATCCCAGAAGAATGTCTTTGTAACACATCTGCAGAATAAGCACATATGTTTCTGCAATAATTAGGGGACCTTCTCAAAACTATTTCTGACAGATTTTAGAAGCATCAGTGGTATTATCCAAACAATTTTGACATAATAAAAATGTTAAATGTCTCAAACCCATATGGCATATCAGACCTTTGCAGTTAAGTAAAGGGAGAAGAGCTGCTACTCTGACTACTGTCTGCCCAGGCTGAAGGACCTGTATGAAACCAGGTCAACAAGGTATGTCCTCTAGTGTAAATCCTGAGGCTTCAACTCGTGTCTCCTGTAAGACTTACTAGTTAGAGATAACCATGATCACAACACCTACTATTAAAAATATGAAAGTTTCTTCACTCTTCCTGAATGAAGGAACCTCTCAAGTTCACAAATAACCATTAAATGTATGGTTAACCCATTTCTTTATGGGCTAAGAATAAAGGGAGGAAAAGTGTGAGATGTTATTTCTCACTCATCTAATCCTGCCCAGTCCTGCTAAGCACAGATCCATCATGGAAGCTATAAAGCTGAGGTACTCTGTACTTCCATACTTTCCTTTTCTCCTCAACCTGACAGAGGAAAGCACCTTAGACTGTAACACTGAGCATGGACTGGAGGAAGGAGAGTATTACAGGTCTTGAGAAGACACATACTGTAGGCATTAGACCTTTTATACACTACAGAGATCTCTACGTATTTCATATTGGTTCAGTTTTACATGGAAGAGACTCAACCACACCGAATGAAATGACAGTCCAATCCTTTTCAAGAGGCACTTTTAACACATGTGCTGGATGTTCTGTTTACAAGGGACAACCACATTGAGAGATGAAACAGGATGTGGATACTGAACCCTTGCTAAGATGGCCCTGATAGTGGCAATTTTCCAGTTGCTCCTCGCTGCTCTAACAGATAGGAAGGAAGCTGCTATCCCTAATTATACAGAGAAAAACTCTAGTGTACCCTGATGTGCTTTGCTCTTCTTCAAGAAGCAATTGAGTTCAATGTAAGTGTTTGAAGTAGGCAGAGCTGAAATGCTTGGGTGTACATAAAAGACAACTGTGAAAACATGACAAGGCACGAAATTCGACCGAAGAGATTTATATCAGAAGTATGGAAATTGAAAGCACATTTAGAAGAACAGACAAAAAGATTATGCAATACTTTCTTTTGGGGGTTTACTCTTCATCTGCAAAATGCATGTGCTTCACATCCATCACTGGAGACAATTACCTCTGCTCAGCAGCACCCCATGGTTTACATTTTTAGTTCCTTTTGTTTTCCCTGTAGCATTTTATTTCAATCATGAAGAAGAAGAAATATTCATGTCTGCTTTGAGAACCATAAAAATATGAGGCTAGAGACATAATTCTGCGCAGTACCACTAAAGAACATCACAGCACATGGCTTTCACCATGCTTTTCAGGTCCTACACCTTTTAGAAGCTATTCTGGAAGGTATATTTTTCTTCCTATATTCACAAATTCTAATCAGTTCATACCCAAAACTGTACTTAAAAATGTTCATCAGGAAGGAACAGCAGGAGGGGATGAGATATTGATTCCCACTCATTTAAACTCTACTTTATTTGGTTTTGAATTCCTTCCTTGCGGAGCAAATAGTCATTGGCCTTTATGCAACTTCATTTGTTTTCCAGAGGCTTGATTAAAATTCTGTTTAGTATAAAAAATAGGAACATATTCACATGGCAAAGGATACAGAATAATGTAGCATTCTTTTGGAACTTAAAGAAAACTAACAACAATAATAATCCATTAAATAGAATACTTTATTGTGGTGTTGACTTTATCATGTTTGGATTTATGTTCAGATGACTGACTTCTTTGTGCTTTAAGACACTCCTGATATACTTGCCTCTTTCATTTCAGAAATCTTTTCAGCATGCTATTACTTTGATTTCTGAGGAAGTTTTTACGAAATATTATGGATCATTAAATTAGTGCCTGTTTTTTTTATCACTAAAAAGCACAGACTGGGACTAAGCTTGCTCTCATGGAACATAAAAGTAGTATAAGCAAGGTGGGGAAAAAAGATAGCTTTTCTTCAGAGACTGAAAATGAGATAGTAAGTCAATGAGGCAGAAAGATAACAGAGTTCTGCTCCAGATTGTGGAAATGACCCAGGAGGGGGTTCATTTACCAAAAGTGGCACTTGATATTAGAGGGGGGAAAAGGAATACACACAAAATGGTATAAATCTGGGCAAAGAGGATTCACCGTGATTTGTGAAAATGATGTATGCAGCTTTAAGTACACTGCAAGTACTTTGCATACAAATTAAAAGACAAAGATTTTCATACTCTTTCAGAGAATCGAATTACAATTAACCAGGTAAAATACATAAGCAGAAAAGCCAAATATTTGCTCTGGTTTGGCTACTCTAATATCCTGCTGTTATACAGAAACGAAAAATAAGAAAAGATGATTTCAGATCTTCCACTAGTAGCATGATGATTACATGGCAGCTTTGATGTGGCTAAAATATAATTTTCCTTTCCTCCACTTTGCCTTGTGCAGACAGTGCTATTTCCCTTCTCTATTCTGTTGCCCAGGACCCCACACCATAAAGTTTTTTCTGAGAGGAAGAAAAAAATCTTTTCTGGAAAGCAATTTGAAACCCACAAAAAAAAACAAACATTGTTTCAAAGGGAATGGAAGAAATGTGTTCTTACTGAACCAAATCTAGTAAAGATGGTATGATATATAAAAAATATATGCAGGTCCCAGATCTGCATTAAAAAATAGTCCTCATTTCTCAAAAAAATATTTTCCAGCTGCTTCATGCTTTTGTGGTCAAAAGAAGCAGCTGCAGTCCATTTTACCTGGATGTTTAAACAACTGAAGCATACTAGTGAGTATTACAACATACTGTTTGCTTGAGGCATCCGATCGATGCTTTCCATGCTCAGAAAGTAAGAGCAAGGAAAAGGCGTGTTGCTCATGGCTTGCCCACCATCCACGTTTGCTGGCTGCACAGCCTCTTGCTCCACAATCATGGGCACACTTACCAGCCAGGTATGACCTCTTGCTCCTTGCTGCCATGCTCAAAATTCCCCCTCTCCAAACTATCTAAACCAGTAGCTCAACTATACCAAATGGCTCATCTCATTTGCTGGAAACAATTAGAATTAGTTTTTAAAACCATCACAGCTATAATTTAAAATTTACTTTTCATTTATGGAGTAAAAATAGCCCTAATCTGATGTCCTTATCTACTCAGATCACAAAGGAAACCCTCGTGTTTCTCAAGACTTTTTGGCTTTTGCCTTTTTTTTTTTTTTTTTTTTTTTTTCCCTGAAGCAACTAACCAGGCTCAGGATTGCCAGGAGTCACTTCATGAGCTCAGGGGACTCCAGCACCAGTTTTTCAAGCACGTGTGGCAAGAAGCGGTTGGATGCACAAAGGAGCCATCAGATAAAGAGGGGAGGTTTGGGGAGGTTCAGGAATGAGGAGATGAAATGATAAATGATTGCAATTTTACAGCATATAAGAACGGAGGGCAGCAGTTTTCCTAGTCAATGCTTAAGTATTTGGAATTAGGGCATATGAGAACAGATGTGACCTACAGTCACCTAATCAGTAGTTAGACAGCCATGACAACTCTTGTTATCCAGCAGATCCTAAAATGTTAGATTTGATTAGAGGGAAATTATGCAACTTACATCTCTCCTATTTAATGGGAATTCCTTGAGGAGCTATGAAATGGCATTGGTTTTTACTATGCATATCACTAATCAGCCAAAATCCCACTACTTCTGTGTGAATCTGCCTCTGTTTTTCCCCTGTCCCCCTACCTAATTAGATGAAATACTCTCTTAATTTTCTCCATATGAGGCATCTGACAAAGAATCTTATGCAGGATTGTTATTTTTAGATTACTGCTCTCCCCCAAACTAATTTTTTGAGATTTACTTCTTGTGAGAGACACCAATCTTAAGCACCGAATATTGCAGTTTTCAAAAAAATGAGAAATTAAACAGGAGCAGCAGGTGTCATCATTACTTATAAAAGGTTAATAAAAAAGAGGTATTGGATTAGTCTCTGATGTCTTGTCAATACCATCGTTCATCTCCCAGTTCAGTCTGACAAAAATTACTGCAAATTGAGACCCAAGTTCTTATGACATGAACTGCAGAAATAATCCGGGCAGGTGAGCATGCTTGGGGACAAGGAGCCTCACCACTCAGGAACCTTGGAGCAGTTTGGGCAGGTTTCTCCATTTTCTATCAAAACTGTAGGTCTACACTAGTTTCTCTTTAATTTTCATCACAAGTCTTGAACTCTCTCATTGCAAATAGATGAAATGTTCTCATGTATGAAGCTGTAACTTCACTGCCAATCCAGTCACCATCTTATTTGCAAGCCAAGTTTTCCTTCTTTGCATCTTTCCAGGTATCAACCTTATGTTAACAGTCCTTTGGGACAGCAAAGAGAGAGAAAGAGAGAGCAATCCAAGGCATGTCCATGCATTCTCTTGCATACCACCTGCTCTGCCTGTGCTCTAATGCCAACTGCAAGTCCTGTAGACCCAAATAGTGTAGTGATAAAACTAGGATTAATAAAAATGTCTCTGATGTGGGGAAAAAAGGAGTTTTAACCTTTTGTGAAGGGAGTATCTGACTATTAACCTACATTGAATGAAAGGAAAGCATCACGGAATGTCTTCTATCTCCTCCCTAATTTTGTGGATCATACATCAGAATTATGGACAGTATTAACATTTCAAAACTTTATACATGTCTGTAATTTCTATGTGGAAATAAATAATATTTTTATTTGCCTGGGCAATCTGAGTTACCATAGGACACAGTAAGTGTCAGTCTTCTGAAATTGTCACCTAAAATTGAACATTTTTTGTTGCCTATGGCATTCTTTTAGCAAATTAATTTTTAAAACACAGGCATATAATATTGACAAGCTGCCTTTGTGCATTACAACTTTCAACTTTTATATCCGTAAAGGACACTCAGTTTCATAGCCTCAGTCCCTGTGGACCAGTTTGTGAACTTCCATACTCACTGTATTGACTTTAAAGGGACTGTAGTCCCAACTAAGTACTCCATGGGGATCCAGAAATTCACCATCCATCTTCATAAACACAGGAAAGACTTTTTAAAAGGGATTAAAGATTTGAGTGCTCAAGAAAAAGCGATTTTTCAAACATAGCACTGATTGGGTACTCAATATTCTTTGAAGATGACTGCAGATGAAGGATGTAACCAAAAAAAATGTCATATTTGAAAAGCTTATCAGGAATATTAAAAAATAATTCTGTCAAACATCTCTGAAACAGATAAGATACAGAGTAAAATTGAATACTACTGCATGGTCATTCATCAATGCCAACAGCCATTTTCAGGCTACTGACAAACATTTGAATATAACTCACAATTCTCCTCAATCACACTTAGATTACTCCCTCAAAAGGTAAATGCAATGATTTTCACAAATTATATACAGAAGTGTAAGAGACATTAAAGCTCACAGTTTGCAAATTGTACTACAGTTTCCTTCTTAATAAAAGCTCTATTTATAAAGCAGTCGTTCATTGGGGCATTTTAAAAGGAACTTAAGGAAGATTATTTTTTTATTCCTTTATTGAATATTTTATACTTCTTCTACCATGCAGTAATTGTGTCTGTTATTTAATTGCTCTCATTTAAAAGCTAATAAAAGATATAAATCACATAGTTTTTGAAAGATATCACAAGGAAGTTTTATGATCCCAAACTACAAACAGCAAATCCTCCATGTATTGAAATAATATAATTACATCACATCAACCATTTTTACGTTTTTCCTTGCTGCAGGCACCTAACATAGCAAAATGGATTTTTATTCCATTGTAGACAGTCTGATACAGTATTCTGTGCTTTGCACTTTTGAGCAATCACTCACTATGAACTCTAAGAAACTTAGATGCTGCAGTGAGACAGTTAAGAGATTCTTGAAGAAAAGGGGCTTTTCTCTATTGACATAAAAATTCTTTAGCTAAACAAACTCATACTTCAATGCTAGCTACACATACTGCTCTCACAAACTTAATGCTGCACCTAGTTCTAGAAACTTAAATTTATTTCAAATAAAAATCAATCTTTCAAAAATTTGGCAAATCAATATCTAATCCTCACTGAGTAAGGACAACAGGATTTGATGATGATGATGAAGGCTTGTTTCCAGTATGCTCAAACCCAAGAGCTTCTGAAGGCCCCAGAGATAAAGAAATACCAAGAGGTTAGCCAATGATAACATATCCCATGAACAAGAACAAATTATTTAAATTGCACAGCACCCTAGCAGCTCTGCTTAAAATCAATTGCAGACCAAAGATATATTGGACTGTCTAAGGCTGGCATGGTTCAATTTTGAGAATATGCCTCACATAAAGGCCACATCCAGAAATATTTCTTCCCTCCACACACTCTAGAGTCAAATTAACACTAATCTCTTTCTGTCAGTCATTCTCCGTGGCATTGCCTCAGCAATTAAAATTTAATATGTGCAAAAAGAAACCCCAGAGCATTACGTGCTCCGATAAAACTACTTTTTTAAGCAAATCAGCATTGCAGATGTACTCCTTGTCCTGATAGCTTTAGTTTATTCATAACTGTTAGGAGTAATGAGGAGGGAATTAATCAGGAATAATATTTTAGTTCAGCTCTGATTCTTGATGATATCATTTAGACAAACTGAAGAAACTCTCCATAGTTCCCATATTGTTGATATTTATCTTGGAATGTAGCAAGCGAAACAAGCATCAGTGCAGTACCTTGAGGTCTGAAAAGTTCAGAAAAACACGGTTTTCAAAGTGATGCGCTTCTTGCAATTCTTCAAGAAATCTTTTCGAATTACAATCTCTGTTTTGCTAGTCTGTGGGTAAATCTAATGCTTAAAATGTGTGTCTTGATTAAAGTTTACTTGCCTTTTGAACTTGTAGAGGATGAAAGCCCCGACTGCAACTAGACAGATAACAAAGAGAACCACAATAGCCCAGTAGCCACTGCCTCCTCCAGTCCTCTGAGAATCTGAAATACAAAATAAAAGAACAGTATAGCATGTCCTCTTTCACATCAGTCACATTGTTGAGCCTTTTTTCTATTTAATTGTCAAGTCAAAAACATTTGTTGGTATTTGTGCAACCTCTTCCCTCCATCTGTGTCTTCTTCAAAAAGACAAAAACACAGAATTAATTGGTGACTTGTGACTGAAGGACAGAGGGCCAATTAAAAAAACAACAACCAACAACAAACCCTAGGACCCTGGAGATTTAATTATTCACATACTCAGTGGTTGTTTTTTTTCCTGGGAATCTGAAGTTTTCATAGTAAATGATCACACACCCTAAGTACATGTGCCTCACAAAAATAGGGCTGTATTAATTTAGCAGATGGAGAAACTAAGGCTCTGAACAACAAATGAACTCATCAAGGTCATACATCAGTAAAGGTTGGAATGAACATGGGCTTCTTTCAATACCAGCCTTTTGTGGTGGCTAACAAATGTCAACCCTTTAAACCAGATGAGGTACCACAGTGAGACTGTAGCACAGTTCTACAGATAAAAGAGTTTTGTCTTCTACAGAGAGCTGACAGATAAAATACCACTAGCATTTACACAAATTGACTGTGGTCAGCTAAAGCTGTTCTCCCACAACACATTGAAATACAAAAGAAGGATATATTATGGGAGATAATACACAAAAAATTACAGGACATTCCAATAAAAGATTCAAGTCAAAGCTGAATTTTCTGGTTAAAACATCACTTTAACGTCTCTCTGTTAAAAATACACACACTTATGCACATATACTCTGTTCAACCAGTTTCCATCAACACAGTGAATCCAGAGAGGCAGGAAATGCATGTATAAAAATCCCCTGTATCCACTTGTTTTAAAAAGAGTAAAAACATAATTTATCTCAGGACAGGATTAGCAATGTGGAGACCCTACAGCAACCCTCACATTAGTTGAGTTGAAGATCAGAGATACATGGCAGAGAAGCAAGCCTGTGTCTCTGACCCATGTAGTTATAGCAGTAGAGCTAATGGCTGAGATAAGGGTAAAGAAGCTCTGTTTTCTCAGCAGCCAGTGCAACCAAAATGCCTTTAGATCACCAGATGGGGTTTTTTGAAGCCTGGTTGCCTCTTTCTTCAGAGCGCTATTTTGTGCAATAGAGGTATTTACTTAATGTTGTGGCTACACAGAAAAAGCAAGAAGCTTGTGATACAAATCATGAACTGTGACAAAATGGAAATGCCTAAGAAATATTTATTTGGTTGTGATTCTTATTAACTATCAAATGAAAATGTGTACATATATATGTGTGTACACATACGTGTATATATATTAACATATACATGTTTATTCATATGCAACAAGTACCAAGTTAGTATATACATGTGTTATATGCATACATATATATTGATACAAAGATTTTTTCCTTAACTTATCAGAACTCAAACTGGCATCCAAAATTGGTCTGTTGGGAGCTTTGTTTACATATTTACCTGAACTGGAGTCAGCTAAAGTCACCAAGACCCAGTATCCTCCCCTCAGAAAGAAACTGATGTTGTGTGCATTCAGGGCCTGCTTTATAGCTGCTATTCTCTGAAAATACAACAGAGAGAATGTCAGACGTCTTGTACTCTGTTCCACTTTGAGACACCCAACACTCTAAAAATGAAAACCTCTGGCTCATTAAATGGTGAGAAACTCAGAAAGCATTTGTTAATGAGCTGAAATCCCATATTTAAAAATCATGCAAAACTCCCCAAGAAGTAAAAGCTGAAAATGTCAAAAGTTTATAGCCAATTCTTTCTTTCTGATTACCAAAGTCTTTACGTTTACCCAAGAGGTGACAGACAGCAAGTTATTTGCATGCATTATTGAGTTTATCCGGGTCATAACTCAAACAATGAATAAACCATATTAAAAACTCTCCGTTCCTCTAACCTATCAGAAGAACACCTGTGATGTCACTTTGGATTTCTTTCTATGAAAAGTAACTGCTATTTAATAATTAACTGCATGTCATAATTTACCTTAACTCCTTACCTATAATGGGATGAATTCCATCTATATCTAATTTTTAAGAATACTCTGTAGAAATATAAACATCCATCCATGTGGAAAAAAAATTGGTATTCCTCCCATTTTCCTCCAGTGGATAGAGTATACTAAAATATTGTCTCTCCTATTTTTATGGAGCAGAACCATTAAATACACCATCATATCCTAACCCCAGATGACAAATTGTCTGAATTATCCCTTCTACTTGCTTGTGTCTTCAACATGGGCAATTTTCTAAAAGATCAAATCTAGTTTTATACTCTATGCCTTATAATTTGGGGTATGACTTCCCAGAGGATGCCAAATTAGAAATATGCTTTATATCCATGAAACCTTCACGAGTAACTTCTTTTATGATATTATCAATTATGATGCTCATCTTTGACAAGCCTTTGCAGTATAATAGATAGAAATCCCTGTAGTCTCTCTTATATTATGGACAGAGACTACAAAAGTTCAAATATCTTCATTCTTATTGAGGAATTTCTAACTTCTGAAGCCATTTCACTGACTTTATTACATTATTTTTGTATGGGAATGACTTAGCATAAGGGTGATGTGAGCATGGCTTCAGTTATTTTACAAGACAATTACACCAGATAGCTCCTGAGTTGCCCAAAGTCTGAAAAGACAATGGATACAAGAACTACACTGTTTAGCAGGCTTCAAACTGATGCTGGTACCATGAAATAGAGTTGCTTCATATCAATCCAGGTTCATTCATGTGTTCATGGTGTACAGTGCAAGAGGTACCACTACTTTAGGTTAATCTGACTTACAGTCAATAAATGAAATTACTGAGTTCCATAACTTTGGATACCTTATATTTTCCTGGCAGGTGCTTGAGGAACCCAACATATGCTTTGGGTTTTGCCTAAGTGACTAATACTTGTTCATTATTCCTCTCCCCACCACTGAGCTCCCACCCAAGTCTATGTGAATTGCAGCTCCACAGGTCAAAATTTTGAATCTCATGTGAGTCCAGCCAAAGGTTCTGGATTATTTATTTCACTGTTAGACTGGTGGTTTTTTTGGTATCCATGGTGGGGGGTTTTCTGCTTTGCAGTATTTACTGAGCATGGTGCTGCCACCTCTCCAATTTTTTAACAAATACAGTGTTTGGAGCTCCTCTCTAGACTTTCTAAGTTAAGGTTCTTATACCAGCATCTCAATTTCCCATCTTCTTTTTTACATCCTTTCTGATGATAATATTTGTACATGGGAACACATCTCCTGCATTATAAGAATGCAAAAATAATGGCACTATTCAAACTCTTACACACTTACTTACACATCTGTGGTTCTGACTTTCCCTTTTAGCCAAAGCAACTCTCTGGTAATTTTCATGCAGTAGTTTGTCTGGATAGAGTCCCAACTCTTCCTCAGAGCCACTGCCTTTCAGATTATAGTTTAATTGCACTTTAATTGACTCTTTCCACTGGACTCATCCCGCCTGACATTAGCCATGTAATAGATGTGCATAAATTAAGCAACCAAGTCTTCTCTAGAGTCAATGATTAGAATGGAATACTTTTGAAACTGCTGTCTTCCTGAAAGCAAGTTAAATCAGTCAGCTCCACGCATAAATTTTAAACAAAAAAGGCTTCTGTCAGATTGGAACCAAATTTCAGAATTTTTCCAAAGGGCCCCTACTACTACACTGACAGTTTACTTATCATCTTTGTTATTGATGGCTACTTTTATCAATAATGACTCCTATTCTAGATAGCATCACATCCCAACACTCCATGTAAAACACCAAAAAATTATTGCCTTTAACAATCTTTCTGAAATAATGTAATATTCCCAAATCTAAAAGGTTTTCAGCCAAGAACCAATAGGTTCTCCTTAAGGGAAGACATTTCATAACTAAGTTAAGGATTTCAGGGACACCTCCTTCAAATGGGCAAAAAACATTCTGCATTGGTGAGTCTTCTCAGTAGTATCACAACACACCCCAGCAGTGTGACAAAGCACATCCTTCCAGTGACACATAATAAAGATCGTCAAGATTCTCTTCTGGTAACAGAAGAGAATGTAAGAAATCTTTAAACAAGTGACAACAGAAGTATTTTCCTGTTCACTTAACCAGTTACTGCTTCTAAGTTTATTCACATAGGGTATATTTCAGGATATTTCTCAAGTCACAATAGACTCTGATACAACACATTTTATCAAAATCTGTGCCATTCAAGTCTAAATCAACAAAATTTATATGCACAGATCAATAGCTAAAGTAGTGCCCATTAGCAATAATATAAAAATAGAAATGTAGGCAGCTGGCACTAGAAGACTGGCTCTACAGCACTGTACTGTATAAAACAATCTGTGTTGAAATGTGATATTAGTGCACATGACTTTTTATCATTGGATAGCATAGGACTCTGTAATTGCTCCTGTCTCCCTTGTTCCTGCTCCAGCCCCAGTCATCATGGGTCTGGCCCCGTTCATCCTAACAATGTCAGAAATGCACATCTATTCTCCAGATTATACAACTACTTTCCCCTTTCAGTGCTCCTCTACTTTCAGAAAAACTTTGTACTGGAGGACAACTTATCACAAAATCATGCCCTGTTAAACTACTGTAATATCCCTACAGCCCCATTGAACAGAAGCTTTTCCAAATCATTTGCAACATGTGATTGTTCTTCTTTATGCTTTAGGCCAACTCACTTGATGTTTCATATACAAACATGAAGAAAAACCTTGAGGTAGCATTGATTACAAATGATGATATTCTTTAAGCTGCCTTGAAGCACAGCACCAATATAGAAATTGGGATTTAAAGGCAAAAGTAATATGCATAACACTTTGCACCGAAATAAAATGTTTGTACAACAGAAGAATCTATCACCATTAGTTTCCTTACATTATTAAAGACTCCCATTCTACATGCATTCAAAATAAAGATTTTTCTTTTAGAAGCTGCACTTTGCTTCTTCAAGAAATGGAGAGTTGCAAATAATTTTGAAGTGGTAATATTCCCCTGGCTGAAACCATTAGTTCGTGAGTCGCTCTCAACAAAAGAAACAATTTGTTAAAATTAACTATTTTCTGCAACATAATCAGGAATTCAGACTCCTGGGTATTCTCACTGTGATTACAGGGAAGAATGGTATGGGTTTGGGAATGCCAAAAAAGCAGAAAACTTTGTGCACTCTCACTGCAGTCTATGCATCTTAAATATAGACACCTGTTCAAGTACTTGGACAGCTTCAACATACTCCTTTGGACCTTTCAAAGTGTATCTCATCAACTCCAAACACAATCTACTGGGTTTGTGTTAATATGAAGAGCTTTGTTTTGCCTACTTCTCCAGCTCTTTGGATGCTGTGACCTTGTCTTAAAAAGCTGTAAAATGCCCTTCAAAATTAATGATACCGTGCACTGATTCTTTGTAACTGGCAGGACTTGAAATCCAAGATACAGACAAAGGGCTGGGATCTGTCCCTTCTCTATCACAGTAAAGGACAAATATAATAGATTATAAGTACCACAGAGCCTTCTGGTTTTCAACTGGCATAAGGTCCTTTATTAGGAGAGAAACATGGTTTGGAAATAAATAGGGAGAAAACAATATCTGATTTTCATTCCAGTGTTCACTATATTTGTTTCTTGCCAATTGAAAAGGACATTTGCTCACAAATGCAGAAAATACTTGCTTGATGCTCTTCACATTATGGGTCAATTACTAAGGTTCTGGTTCAGTTTTGACCTGAAATCTAATTTGCTTTTGAAGACAGCGCAGAAAAGGTTCATCCCTTTTCAGAAGTATCAGTGTTCTAAACACACTCTTTGCTTTACTGGCCTTTCACAGGATGACATGCATCGTCTCTGTTTCTGTTTAGAAAATCAGATCAATATTAAATATTCTTGAGAAATACAGTAATACCAGTAAGCACTAGATTATGCTGATCTTTACAGTGACAAACACAGTGGGAGTGAGATCTTTACATAGGTAGAGAACACCTCTCAATTTCGTATAAAGACAATGAGAGTACAGACATTTATTGCAAAACAGGATTAAGACTGTCCCAAACAGACATGCATTGCCCTGTTTACCTTATCACTAGTTAAACTTCTCTTCTTTTTCGGTTGGTTGGCTGGTAGTAGCACATGCAAGTCAGCAGCTGTGGGCAGACCAGGTTTCACAACTGTCATGAGTGTTTCTTCAGGTATATTGGTTTCCTGTGAAGACAGCAAAAGCATATGGCAAATTACAGGACAGCACAGTTCGTGTTTTATATAAAACATAAGTAACTCCACATGTGGCTTTTCGATTTGGTGTTCAGATCCCTAATATTTGGAAGGGATTCCACTAGAAGCTAAAGCATGAACAAAGTGAAGCATAAGTGTACTGAAATGTGAGCTGCTCTTTGAAGACTGGAAGAGCTAAGTGTTGTTTTCACATCAAAGTAATTCAGTGGCATCAAGAAAAGACGCAAAATGAAGAGGTATGCAGGTTTTATCAAAACTCTGCAATGGCTGAGCATTTCTAGGGTAAGATAAAACAAAAATCCCAAGTGATTTAGGATTCTTTGTGGGTCATTCAGATACAGCATAGACTTAGAAGGGTATATTAATTACAGCTAACTCTAGCCTAGAAAAGTTACTTTTCCATCTGTGTTTTACGGGCAGAGAGAATTCTTCAAATGTGAGACTAGGAGCACCTAGGTTCAGTTCCCGAAATGGTGACAAATACCATCATTTCCCCACTGAAAGTCAGATGAATCACTTTTCAAAATATTTTGTCCAAATTTGATTTTAGTCCCAAGTTCCTCCATATGTTGTACAATACAGCCCCACAGTCCTAATGACGACACTCTGGGCACTTGCCATAGCCTTCCTCAAACAGACTCTGAAATTCCATTAAATTTTCCATATACTTTGGCAAATGTTTTAGTAATTCTTAAAATGCAAGGACTATTTTATAAGGGAGTAAAATATATTTTTGACTGACACTGGTTATGGAATGAGTTTAAGTTGATAAAAGTGGGAAATTACTTTAATTTGATGTTTGATATGAGCCTATAAAAAAAAGGCAGGAAACTGTATAAAGTAAAAAATTTAGAACCTGACTTGCACTACTGCAAATCCAGGAAAAATAAAGTGATTTAAAATGCATATATTTTATAAACAATATCAATCTGTACCTCAATGCTACTGCCTTCACAAAAGCCAGTGTGTACACCCTCAGTTGCTGGCAGGGTGCATATGTGAAGAGCACAGCTCTCAAGTTCAAAGTTTTCATGAGGTGCTCTTATCTCACAGTACTACTGCAGAGCTTTGTATTTGATTTAACCTACAGGATTCAGCTATTCCCAATCCACATATCTTTTGTGAACATGATCTAAAAAATCAGCTGTACAAACTGCATGCCTATATATTATATGTTATTTTCAGTTACACAACTAGCATAATAAATTCTTTCTTTGTGCTTTGTTTTTACACGATGTCTTTTATGTTACAAAGCATCCTTTGCTTAGCTTCTAAATCTCTCACATTTAAGCTACTCTTCCTGTTTTGGAGTCAGCAGTATTTGCCAATATGTCTATTCCTAATCCCAGAGAGCAATATTTAGCATTAATTGCCAATTAGGCTGTGTTAGACCTAAACTGTCTACGTTACAATATCATTGTCTACAGCCTGCACGTAAAAGTGACACTAGGCTCAAACTTGCTTGAAATGTGGCTCATGAGGTTCACTTTATTATTTTGCTCTGCCTCCTTTTTTCTACATGAGAAGGTATTAACTTAACCTTCAAGCTTTACAACTGGTGAGGGAACATTTTACGAGCAATCTGAAAGAGCACCTTTGCAAGAAGTCGTGTTACTACCCGCCCTATGTCTTCTCTCCACTCTGGTATGTCGGGGTTGTACATGTCCAGGTGTTTAGTAAACTTCAATGGAAGAACGTGAAAATGATCTAGAAAAAAAAAAGAAACATTTTGTACAAGTGATAAACCAAGTTGCAAAAAGGGTTTTGTAGAACTAAAAGCTGAAAATCTATATTTAGCGTTTTTTGCTGTGCAGCACTGCAGTATCTAGGACCCCCACTGCTCTATGTTGTCAGGCACTCAATTTCTCTCTGTATTTTCATCAACATCATCAAATTTATGCCTAAAGATTAAAAAGCAGTAAGAAAAAGAAATAAACAAAGGAGATTTACATACATGCTCTGGGGTCATAATGTTCCCAGTAATTTTCCCTTAGGTCAATAAGTCACACAGAAGTGATTGGTTTCTTTTATTTGAAATGAGAATGTGCCAACGGGTTGTATTCTTACCAAATCATAAATACGTGGGATTTTGCCCATTACATGTTCCTGTTTTCCTTACAAAATGAATACCTCACATATTGCATAAACTAGATACGAAAATAAGAACAGAAATTATATTACAAATGCTAACCACTGCCCTCTGAAAAAATAAAACCAAGGTACATCCACAACATGTCTCTGGATATTGTCAAAAATATCTGAAATACTAGAAATGGGTTGATCCTCAGAAAACAGTCTCTTAAAACCTTCCCTTTCTCCCTACGTGCTCCTTGGATGAACATCTGGGGAACTTAATGCAAGGAAGAAATAGAGATAGCCTGGAATGGAGGAGTCAAGCCTGCCTCCCCCAATACTTCCAACAGAATTATATTTTAGTGTGGCTTTCTTTTCCAAAAGTTTCTTTATTTCTGTCATGGCCAGTACTTTCGTGCTCCTGATATCAGGACTGGTCAATAGTAAGAGCAAAAGGAGTGCTGGAAAGCCAAAGTCATTGATGTAGTCACACTAAGAGGGTTATACTTCTAAAGATTACAAAAAAAGCTGATGCACTTATACGTAAGTGGTGGCATAAATGTTAAATTCATTTATCTTAGAAAAGGAGAAGATTCATAAAAGCTCCATTTAGTATAAGTGTGGGTTTTAACATTAATTTAAATTAATAAGCATACTAAAAGCAAAAATAACAGAATCTTCTCCAGACAATAGAGATGTATAATGTTGTGTATTGCGTGATATCAGAAGGCTTCTAGCTCTGCATTCAGAAGAAGCTTTTATACTTATCACAATTTCCACATGTGACAGCACAAATACAAATGTAAATAATTTTCCAGCACTACATTTTCCACAGTATATTATGCCTTGTCACTACATTACAAGACACAAAAAACCACCAGGGCACAATGTGGAACAAGAGCTGAAGGGTTATTCAATAATTACAGCAGAGCTATGCTTGATCCAAACTCTCAGATAAACATCAAAGGTACAGTGACATAGTGTGATAAAAGGCAATTATTTGACATTTTATTCAGTGCTGAGAGCACATACTCAACTAAATTTTCATTTTTTTCAGAGGCATTTAAACTAATTTATTTAGAAATTCTGGGAAACTTTCTAGTTTTAAGCCAAAATACTACTTAAGCACTGTTGCCACATATAGCATTTGAGAACTACAGTAACATTTAAAACAAGAAGAGGAAACAAAATGTTTCAGATTAAACTCTTCCACACAATCCCACTGTTCACTTCATGGAGTTACCTTGTGACAGTTCATCCCTACAATTTTAAGAGTTAAATGTGGCATTAGACGTAATTTTACAACAGGTTCAGTTGTACCAGGACTGGTTTAAGATGTACAATAACAAGTACATATGAAACAAAAAAAATGAAAAAGACTAATGTCTCACCAAAAACATGGACAACTTTTGAGTCCTGAAGCATGGAGCTCCCACAGGAAACTTGCACTGTAACTCGGACATCACCTGTCTCAGCAAACTTGGTCACCAGAAAACTCTCCAATGTAAGCAGTGGCTTTAAAAAACAAAGAAAAGTTGAAAATATAATTTGAGCAAGAGCTACAAGAACAGTGTCTGAAGAGGCTGTAACTAAAATATCAGCAAAAAGTTTTCACATCAATTTTCAATTAATCAATATTTTATCAAATTGTTCAACAAAAATTTTCAATACAGGATGTTTCTTTCCCTAAATGGATCTTTTATAAACAGAAAAGCAGCCAGATGGGGCAAATATTTCTTCTAGAATAATCGGTAGAGTATTAGGGTTTCAGTCAGATCCACCAAAATAAAAGGATTTTGAGGCAGATTCAACAAACTCCACAAGATTATATGAAGCAAGTCAGTTGCCTCAAAAAAATGTGGGGTACATCAGGGTCAAAAGGATTAACACTGTCAACTTAGAGTGTCAGTCCACAGTAACCTCCAAGGCAACCTCCAAGTAACCTCCTGTTCTAGCAATGGCAAAGTCAATAATAACCAGATATGGGCTGGTTTTATGGTAGACAGCACATTTACAAAAGAAAGTTCACTGCACCTATTTGAAGCATTCCTCTGCCTCATAAAGAAAATATTTTGCTTATCTGTTATTGAAAGAATTACCTTAAAAGAAATTAACCTAGCTAGACAATAAATATTGCCAATAGAAATAGTGGGATATTTATTGTTCTAGGACACGTTTATCTAGACCTTGATCCCCAAATGAATATCACTAGATTGTTTGAGTGCTCTCAGTGTTTTGATATCCTTTAAGATATCCCATTTTTTTAATATGTCAGTTTATTTTAGACTCACAGAAAATATTTATCTATACAAAGAATATATATATATATTTCTGTACAGCACTTTAATTTACAGTACTCACATTATCAGTTTAGAAGCATATAAATCCAAGTTTCATCATTCACCAATGTCATGATCCCAAATCAATCCCTGTCTGCAAGTTGGTTTTTTTTCCACGGGTAATCAAATACAATAAATTGTGGTGTGTGTCCCCCCCCCCCGAGAAAATAGTTTAGAAATTGAAAGAAAGGAACAACCTTTATTGGAAAGAGATTGAAAATAATCTCAGTAAAAACCATTTGTGTACCTGAAGATTGTTTCCTATCCACCAGTAGAAAACTGTCAAGTTAGGGTTCTTAGGCAGTATGATGGCTGTCAGGTTCACCTCCTGGTTTCTTCCAATGACTGGAACCACTTCTAAGTTTAAAGCCTGGAGTGGAGCTGAACAAAGTTCCCAAAATATCATTGAACAAGAATCCATCAGTTTATTAATGCCTCTTTCCCCAAAAGCCTCTCACCTGAATCAGGTCCTGAATTTTTTTTTTCCCTCCCTTTTGCTTTTACATGGATGTCAAAAGATATGGACATAATTGGAAGGACCTCATTTCAACAAAAAAATATCCCCCAAATCACCTCAAAATCTCAGAAACAAAATCTTAAGCAATGAGATGGATCAACCAAATGCACTTCTCTGATTCACGTTTTTTTTGTGCATTTCCAATCCTACAGCACATAAGCAAATACTCCAGTTAAAAAGTGGAAAAGGCAATCTCAGCTCGTTTTTTTTTTTAGTAACAAAAGATCAAATGAATAGAAATCTAACAAATCTCAAATTGCTAAGGGAAAAGCAGAAAACTAAAAAAGAATGTTGCTGACTACTCATTTTCATTATAAAAAATCAGCTGTTAGGCTCACACCACACAGAAACTCTCATTAATGCATGCTTTAAAATAGATGTGTATATCAGGGGAGCATTTATTTGCAAATCAAAATAGGATAACCTCTGTACTCCAAAATGTGCCTTAGAGTAAGTTTATTCCTTTCTGAACTTTTGCCTATGAAGGCTGTAAGCACTATTATTTGTATAAGAGAAACACATCATTATGGTGGTTTTATCTGCTTCTAAGTGTTGTGGTTATTAGTGTTGTGCTGCTTCACAGTACAGTAACTGTATTAAAAAAACCCTTTCCCTCAAAGGTTTTTGAGTATCTCTTTTTCAAAATCCATAAAGGTAAAAGCTTTATAACAGTATAATGTCATAACTAGAATTTCTTAACTTCACCTGCACCATCTACCCAGGATACCAAAATGCTTTATGGCCCAAGAGTCATTCATTACACAGAATGAATATTAACCCATCCATTTTTGTTCCATTCTACATATTTTTTAACTCATTCAAAGGTTTTTCATCTCAGTGTAAACTTACAGGTTGTTAACACCGGTCTAAAGTATCTCTCTTACTCTGTGTCAGGAGTTGAATCACTGCTAATTCACTTTGATTAAATTGATTGAACTTCTCTGAAAAGAAGTTATCTGATCTCCTTTCCCACCTCACTTCACATAGTCTGTGTGCTGCTTCATCCCAATGTAAGACTCTCACTCTGCATTTTCTACAATGACTCTTAAATCACCTACATGAATTCAAGACATGTTGGGTGCTTAAACAAATGATTTCTTCACTAGCTTCCAGAGGAGTTAAAATGTTTCTCCCTGTTGCTGGTATCTTGAAGAAAATTCAGAAATTTTAGGAATTTCATTAAATTTGTTCCTCATAGAAATAGAATTTCCTTCTGATGGGGTAAAATAAAGAAGTCTGGAGGGATCTGTGAAACTGTTTTGATTTTGCCATAAATTTGCATTTTCCCAGAGGAAACTGATGATTTTGAGATATGTTTTTGCTCCCGAAGAAGGTTGCTTTCTTTTCCAAAATTTTTAAGAGCAAGTTGTTTGGTACTTGAGTGATGACTGCTATTTCAATCTTACTGCTCCTATATATTAAAGAGCTGAGAATAATTATTGCAAGTCCTCCTGCTTGTGTCTGTCACACAAGTCCATAATGCATGGGAACAAGCCTCATAGCACCCTTAAATGTGTAATATGAGGAATTAATTGACAAATTATTTTTGATTATTTAACAAAGTTATAATTTCCATATAGTTTCCATACAGTTTTCCAAGTTCCCTTATTATTCACTTACTATAAAGATCACAGCTTCATAAAAACCAAAATGTGTGCAGTGTATGTAGCAATGTATATAGCTCTTCTTCAGGTATTTTTATTATGAGTTGCCTACTCACATTTATGCTATCAGACTTAATTCCTCTTACAGTTCATTAGAAAGTTGTAGATTGTGTGATCTGGATCAGAAAGTATGATTTGGATGAAAAGCCAAAATTTATATAATTGTCCTGCATCCCACAGCAACAGAACTCTGAAGTGAAAAATATTCCCTTTAACATTTGCCTCTGAAAAAATTCCCTGGGAATAATACATCAGCCACAGATAGAGTGAAAGCAGGACTCTGTGGACATTTCTGCTTTCATGGTATTCCACAGTGAAAATGTTCCTTAATGGCTATTAGTGCTTCACTAGAACATAGAAATAGCAGTTTAATTTTTTAGGTAAATTAGAAGATTCAAGTAAATTAGTTGGCACTAAAGAGAGCAAATCACATAGAAAGCATTTATTCAAGAAGGCTGGGCCACACACTTCCATGAGCCTTCTAGTCCCTGTGCAGCACCCACGGACAAGCTCAGGATGAGATCACATCTGCCTCAGTGTTCTGCTGCCTCTGTACTTCAGCACCAAAACTCCTTTAATGGACCAGTCATTTACTTGTGTAAAGTAACTCTGGCTTCTGCAATTTGAAAATCCACTGCATAAAACAAAATCGCTATCTTTTATTTTTACTGTTTATCCTAATACAGGTCACACTAAAAGCGCATTTTGAGAAAGTGTTTGTTCCGCTTTCCATCAGGGCTTGCTACTGCTCATCATTCTCTGAAGGGTTAGAAGCTATTCTCAGAGAGAAGGAGTTTTTTTCCTCTTCACTGCTTGTACAGACTGTTTCTCTGGCTAATCTACTTCTCAGCACCTAGAAGCTTCTAAACAGTAACAGTGAAGCCCTAAGTAATTTACCTGAGCTCTCTGGAGCTGTCAAATCATTTAAAAAATAAACATAACAAAGAAACAGATACTGAAACTGAAGTTGAGAATTTGACTGTGATCCTTTCTGTTTGATTTTAGTAGAAGACTGGCCATTAGTATGAATGGGCCCCATCTGTCAATCAAAGCAGAACTGGAAACTCTGGACTCAAGGACACTGACCAGCAAAATACATAAATATCAAGCTGACATAAAGCACATGGATCTGTGCACATCTGTGTATATGGCTCCAGTGATTTCCGTTGCTTTGGGATTAAGATGGAAGGCACACCACTCAAAACAGAGGGGAAACAGACACCTGGAGAATGCAAGATGAGTATCTTTTCCTTTGATGTTACATGCTTCTGAATTTTTGACACATCTGAAAACAGGCAAAGCAATAGCTGCCTTGAATCTCAAAGAAAGAGGAATATTCAGTTCCACTTATGAGTTTCCCTCTTCGTTTCAGTTATGAGATGACTGAGGTACATTAAACTTGCAATGGTGCATGATATTCCCTGTGCCATGATATTCTTTAGTTTATATATGTTTGATTGGGTATTTTAGGTCTTAATTAAGAAGAGGGAGAGAAGTCTAAGACAATTGATACTGCCTGCCAACATGAAGTTATATCCAAGTACCATTTAAAATTCTGTGAGAATTAACTAACTAAAATCTAGATTTAGAAACACTGAGATTTTTAATATTTTTCAAAATCATACAAAAGCTCATATGTTTCTCAACACATCTGTTCACTTGCTTTACACTACACCTAGAAGCTTTAAAAAGATATAGTGTTAAATTTTGGCTGCTAAGGCTGCCAACAGGGTCTTGAATCAGGAAGATGGATAAAACCTGAGATTTAAACTGAGGCATACTTATTTAAAAGATTAATAAACCATCCTTCTGTCCAACTGGAATAAAACTAATTCTGATCTCCTATTTCATTAGTTTTACAAGCCTCTGAATTCAAAACATACAACACTGCAAGGCTGCATGAGGGTGTTGAAAAAATATTTTCCTAATTGCGACTAGTAATTTTCTTTACTACTTCATAGCTGTCATGAGGTTTTTACACAGTGGTAGAAGTAAGAAAAGTAAAGAGATGATTTACAGTTGACTTGGATGAACACCACAGCCTCATCGTGCCCAGCCACATTCTCAGCCTTCACTGACACACGGTAAATCCCAGGATTCTCATAGCGGTGACGGATGGGTTCTCCAGTCATCGTAAGGTTCACATATATCGCCTTAAAGCCATCTCCAAGATCTACCTGGTATTTGGTACTCAATATATCACCCTAAAAGGAAAATATATCAAAAACATTTTAAATGGCCAGAACCAAAACAGACAGGACACATGTTTATAACCCTTTACAGAATCACAGCAGCATTTTCAGCCCCTGCCAGACATTTTGACTCAATTGCAATAGCTGCAGTAAAACCACTACAACCCATGGCAATGATGCTAGTGCAACAGATGCTGTGTGCATTGAGATAATACCAAATTTCCACAGTAAGGTGCTACTTAAAATTAGACACCTCAGACCACTAATCAAGTTATATGGCACAGAAATCATCACTCTTGTCTTAATGCAGCTGGACATTAACTAACATAATGGTGCGATGCTCATATCATTGCAAGCAATTGAAGATTGTTATTTTATCAAATTACTACTCATCCCGTGAACTTTTAGCCTTTCCAATTATAAAGTAAAATTAATTGGCTTAGGCATTCTTCACAGCACCATCTAAGCACAGCCTCCTAGTGTCAATTACATGGCCTTTAAGACCCAAGCTGGGATCTTCACACAGAGGTGTACAGCATTATACTGAGTCACCAAGCATGTCCAGAACTACCATGCTCTAGTGCAAAATTAGATGCATGGTTAATGAAGCAGATTAACAAGCTGGGTTTGGGAAAGGGTTTAAAAGTCCAGCCAAATAATTTTGTCATATCAAATATCTCACTGAATTCATAATTCCTCGCACTTCTGCCAAGTGCTCCTTTAAATGACACCGTCTTCCTAAACTCAGGCCTAAAGGACTGCAAAGCTGATAATACCGTCAGAGGACAAACATGACTATTACTCATGTTGTCGTGGTGTGCCTGCTCAGGAGAGAAATCAGGCCTGTGCTACATGGACTAGAGATTTGGATGCAGTGAAAGGAAAATTCATTTTAGCTGTTAGAAGTAATACTTTCTCAATACTACTGGCAGCACTGCCTTGGTGAGCTGCCCTGCTTCCTTGATCTCCAACAGTATTTATGTTCCTGCTTGCTTGCCATCACAGCCATGCAATTAAGACAGGCTACAGGGCCAGGCTTCATAGAAAAGCCTCTGTGTTGTGAAAACACAGTATTGATTTATTGATTTCCTGTCACGGGTCAAGTGACAGGAAAGGGCATCAGAGCAGAGAAGGATTGACACCAACCAAAGTATTCAAAAACCACTCCACTTCTCCAAAAGCCACTCTGAAATAGGTTTATTCCAAAATTTAATCTCAAAAGGAAACATTAATGTAGTTTTTTTCAAAATGGCAACAATCGGCCATTGGAATAGTCTCCCCAGGAAGCTGGTGGATTCCCCACAGCTGGACACTTTTAAGATTCAGCAGCACAGGTGCTGGCCATCTTGTCTAGGCTGTGCTTTTGCCAAGATAGGTTGGACTAGATGATCATCGAGGTCCCTTCCAACCTGGCAGTCTATAATTCTATGATTCTTTGAAAATCAAAGAATCTAAATCTACCAAGGCTAGAATTTATGTTCCCTGGCATTACAGAAGAAAGGAAAACATACTATTATTTCCTCCTTTTGTTATTTGGCAGTGTGGTTGATTTTCTTCCTTGTTTTATCAGATGAAAGAACATTGCTTACAATGTAAAAGAACACCCATAATAAGGAACCTGTAGGATTATCAAATACCTAAGCACCATATTTCAAGACACATAAAGGACCTTAAAAGCCTCTTCACTGTGAATAGCTTTTTCTTTCTTTTGACAACAGAATAGTAGAATTTAGCAGAAGAGATAATATATTATATTACAGTTTAAAGCAGAAGAGATATGTTCTTGCCAGCAGTGTAAGTGGAATCTCTTTAGATGACATTAGCTTGCAAAGAGTTCTTGTTCTCTCTTTCTTATGCTAACAAGTACACATGTGTATTTTTTCCAGATGAGACACAGAAACCAGTGTTAAAAGCCAATAGATGCAAGCTTCTCTAACTATATTATTCTAAATAGCTTCCCTAGTGTAAGGATGAGAGTGCTGTATTCAAAACAACAAGATACTTCTATTTTCCAGACCAATAAACAAAGAGAGCAGTGGACAGAAAACAAAAGAGTCACATAAATCAGCTAAATTTATAAGAAGTTGGGGCTTCCACTTCCATAAAAAATAGGAGATGGTCATGATATTATTTATTCATATATTCATCCAACAGACTATGGAAAAAAATTATCATCATCATCATTATTGCTATTATTTCTAAAGACACTTGAAAACTGCCCAAGCATAACAGAAGCATGTTTTATTTACTCTCTGATGTCTGGCATTCCTGCATTCCCAGAAACTAGTAAATTAATTTTGTTCATTGGAGAAAGTAGTATGTTTTGGTTTATTGTAGTCGAGCTGTTTCTTAAACTCAGTAATTGTTATGAATTCTCATTGGATTTTGTCATATAGATTAAATCCTAAGAAACGTTCAGGACATTTGAGTTTAAATATTATTCTTAGCCATAGAGGGCACCAAACTGCTACAGTTCTTCTAAATCTGCCTTCCTCTTTGATGAACAGAGCACGGACTTCACCAGGAAACACAGCACGAGATTGTCTTCAAGATCCCTCACTTCTGAAGATTTGTGAATAACTTTAAATGGTTTTCATATTGCCACAGAGATCCATGAAAGCTTCAGTAGGAAAAAAGTCAAACTGCCAATCAAAATCATTAGAATCCAAATTGCAACCAAATGCTCTGGGCTTACAATAAACATTTCCAAACAAATTCTAGAAAGAGGAGGTAGCAGAACTTGTCACACAAACTGTTGGGGCACTGCATGCATTGGGATGCAGAGCCTGAGAAGCATTAAGAAGGTCACTGTTCTGCACGTAACTTTCTTGATTCCATTACAGAAATAAATCCCAAGTGCTCAATTTATATTGCACAGGTTTGCCAAAATGTGTGAATTTTCTTCATATTCTTGTAAATCAGTAGGGTTAGCCAGGATGTACAAATACTCTGGTAACCTGAGCACAGCAGGTTACCAGAGCCTAATGCTAAAAAACAAGCTAAAAAACAAGCATGAGGAAACATACCCATGGCAAACAATTCATCCAGCAGTTACTCACTGCTGTTGGTCAGGGCCTTAGGGCATTGTCTCTCTCAATAAACATAAAATCCCCCATATCTTTGGCAACACGACTAACATATAATAAATATTCTTATGCTGTGCTATTTGCTGATTTCTGTAAAGCTTTGCCTCATTCCTTTCTGAAAGGCAGATTCTCAAAAACACTTAAACCCGAATATTAAATATTCTCCGCATTTCTGTTCTTCTCTGATACAACAGCTGAGATTTTCAGTCCAAGGAGACTTTGGTAATCCAGTTTCTTTGATTTTCCAAGAAGCTATTGCCTTTGCTGCTGAGGACACAAATCCTGTTCTGTGGGTAGAACTTGGAGATTCACTGAGTCTACTGTCTTGTCTGATTCACTTGAAAACAGAAGTTTCAATATTTCCAAATCCATTAATCCTTGTCTCAAGCACAAATTAATCTTCATTCAGCAGCAAAGCAGGTAGGAGTGAAATTAACCCTAAAAGCAGCAATTAAACTTTCATGGAGCCAACATTTATTACTACCTGCTCTTGTCTGACAATGAAGGTGATGTCTTCCCCGGGCCTAACAGCCAGGCTTTCTTCTCTGATGCTGATCTGAAGTCCCTTGGGAGCAATCAATGGACACATATGCTGTGCTACATTCTGCTGCAGGTCTACGCCACCTTCACACACATTAGAGACAACTTTCCTATACCTGCAAAAACAGTAAGCAGTGAACATGGTGAACTGGAGGTAAGCAAAAGAATGCCATCAGAGACACCAAATGCAAGTGTGATTGTAGCTAATGCATTTTCCTTGGGTACACAAACAGACAAGATTGCAGATGATCAAAACCAACTCGCAACGCAAGTACTTGGATTGGGGACATTGCCTTTACTAAGGAAAACCCATTGAAGAAGGGTGGTGTGGAGCATGATGAGGATTTCACTTGAATGCATTAGAAGAGTCTGTCTTTTCCAACTTAGAAATGTGCCTGACTATCTCCAGGAGACAGACAGTCTTCTGTCCTCCTTGCCATCCCCTTTCCTAGCACTCAACAGTCTTCATTGCTCTAGAGGTTTGGGTTCAAACCCCAAAGATCAGGAAGAAATTAGACCAAGCAGCTTCTGCATTAACCCAGAACTAATTGCTTAACTGCTGCTCTAAAATCAATTAATTTCTTAAAAGACTTGTAACATTTGTGTAACATAACAGTATAAAAGATTGAAAGAAGTAACACTTTTAAAGAGCTAATAATGAAATACTTGGGCGTGTACAGTAATTATTTACAGATCAGTTTCACATAGGTACGCGATTTTTAAACGTCCTTTAAAATCAGTCATATGTCACTCTTTTGAATTCCCACTCTGTATATCACAGCTGTCAGCCGCAACCCAAAAGGCATCATTTTCCTCGGTAAGGCAAATATACACAGAGACTGTGATTCTATTGCCAGATTGGACGTTTCATCATTTGGTTCTCATCTCTACAACTGACTGAGATGGTGTTATGATAAGCCAGAATAGATGCCAGCTGCAAGTTATTCTCAGCACAGACGTCAGACTACATTGTAGTGTATATCCTATGTGGTATTGTTTACAGTTACTAACGCTTTCCTTTGATTCTGAGTGTCCCATATGGTCAGGAAAAAAACTATTCTTCGCAGAACTTCTTGCTCTTATGAAAATGAGAGACTGGGAAATTTTGTGAGATGTCACCAGGTCCTCAGAGTAATTTATTAGATACAAACTGAAAATTGCTCTGGACCTAAGCAATGAGCTAAAAGAAAAGGCTTTGAATGGACATTCCTATCAGAAGTGTAAAAATGGCTACAGAATGTTACAAAAAAAAACCATTAAAATGCTGCAAACAAGACAGTTCCCCCTCTTCTTGAACAGATTAGTTTTTCAACCACTGGGAACATGCAAAGGAACAATTATCTTCCCTTAATTTGTAGGAAGCTTCTGCACATGCACTAAGTCAGTCACAGCTTTTGCATTTCCCAGTTTTTACAGTTTGCCTTATTTACATTTCATAGAATCACAGACTGGTTTGGGTTGAAAGGGACCTTCAAGATCTTCTAGTTCCAACACCCCAGCCAGGGCAAGGAATATATTCCACTAAACCAAGTTGCTCAAAGTCCCACCCAACCAAGACTTCCACACTTCCAGGGAACAACTGCACAAGTTGTTCAGTGTCTCACCACACTCTCAGTAAAGAATTTCTTCCTAATATCTAATCTCAACCTATCCTGCTTCATCTGTAGGCCATTCCCACTTGACCTATCACTACACGCCCCTGTAAAAAGTCCCTCTCTAGCTCTCTTATAGGCTCCCCTTAGGATTGAAATGTGAATTTCTTTCAAACCACTTTTGAGGCCGCTGGTTGGAATATTCTCCCCCTCTTTGGAAGCCTCATCAAGCCAGTTGAATGTAAAAACAGCTTACCCAGTGCTGCTGGTGTATGCCTGCCCCAGCACACAGTCTTCAGGCGGTGCTTCTGGGTTAAACCAAAAGTCAGCAAAGCATTTGTTAGACTCCGACTTCAGAAGTGCAGAGCGCTCAAATCCATAATCACTGAAAAACATCAACACCAAGTGTGTTACTATCCCCACTTCACTCAGCAGTCTAATTTGGGGTGGATGAGACTAAATTTTTAAGAGTAAATAATTTTTTTTAGTGTTATTCTACCAGATGAACATACAAGTTGATGAAGCCAGTTCTGTTTTAAGTCTAATTTCAGTGGGAGTTGTGTACACTTCGGGGAAAAACTGGTTGTAATTACTTTGTCAGTTCTGCAAAATTAACTCCCATGGTACCTTAGATCTTTTAAAGGTTTCCTTTGCCACTCAGACCAAACATTTCCTTGCCTTTTTTTTTTTCATTTGCAAATAGAAAGGGTTTGTTTGCCTTTTAAATGAATCCAATGGTCATTTTTCAAGCCTTGATCAATAGAGAAAAACATCAGGATTTGTTTAGGCAGGTGAAACACATACTTAAACACGGCAATATTTTTAACAAATGCAAAAGAAACCTGCTATTCAAATAACAGTTTACCTATTTATTTATATATGGCTATGTGGGGAGAGGGGAAAGAGGAGTAAAATAAACCCATCTCAAACTATTTACTAGCGATAAATCAAAAAATCCACAGACAGACTCACCATAAGAAATCAGAGTTCACACATTCACAAACTTTGGATGTGAGAGCTGATGTGAAACTTCTCCCTTTAATGCACCATGATGAAATCTTCCTCTTTCGAAAGCTTCTCTGCTGGCCCATGATGCAACGATCACCCTGGATATCAAAGCACTGGACTTATTGCACCGTAACCTACACCACACACACATGACCTTATGTTGTCCTGAGAAAGGCTGATCTTGCTGCCAAGAACTTGTATCAACTCTCTCATATTCAAATATATAGGTATAGATAGCTCTCATATTCACTGCTATCTGCTAACAGGTCACTACAAAGTTGTAACATAGGTTGTATTTCCAGGGCAAAAATCTGAAGATGTACGTGAAAATTCAAGTGCAATCTAACCCATGTTTCATGTGCACACAATCTAGGCACAAAGCTCCAAGTGGCCATTTAAATATTCACTGTGGCTGCACATAGCTGAAGTTCTCTCTAAATCACCATATCTCATGTTGGCAGTCAACCTGATGTACCAAGCATGTGGACACAGGTAGAATGAAGGCTATCTTTACACGCTCCACTGGTAATTGGGCAGCTGCAAGTACTCTGTCAAAGTCATTTTAGTAGTTTCTAATTTCTGAAAGACATTTTGATGCCAATATTCCAAAATACTGTTACTCTTTAGGCTCAGATCTGCATAATATTCTCAGTAAACACACAGCAGTCCCAAACAAGAAGTGTAAAATTAGGCATGAGAACTGGCAAATGGGAGCAGTAGAGCTGGAGTAACACAGAGTAGTATGCAAAAAATAAACCAACCCTGCAGAGAGCAAAAGAACAAATGTACTGGAAGAAGCAAAACATAATAATCCGAATGATTATGAATAAATATGACATATTCCATTTAATTAAAAAAAAACCCTCAGACTTGCCTCTTCAATCAATACACTGTAGAGACAATTTAACTTCCCAAAATTGGATTTGGCCAGAGCATCAGGATTAGCACAGCCTTAATGCATTACTGCAGAAATGGCATTGCCCAAACCAACTGGACTCCGTTACATGATTGGTCCACTGAGATCCTAAACTACTTCTGGAATGGACTGTACTTATGGCAATTTATATATGAGTACAGTATGTGGTCAGGAAGTTGGCAGAACACATGACTACATGTCGAAATTGTTTGAATCAATATTACACACTTCAGTTCATGGTATATGCTTCCTAATCCAGCAGGACCACCTATTATTATGGCAACCCTGCAGATATACTTCCACCTTTCCTAGGACACAGATTACACAACCAAAATGAACACAAAATCCTCTCCCATTTTAAACTATTGCAAAATCAGCAAATATCAACATAAGGAGACTAAGCTGGGGATGTGGCATCCAAATTCAATTTGGAAACATTTTCCTAGCACACAGTTCTATATGAATCTGAAAGCTAAGGAAAAGTTTTGTCAGTTAACATAAGACCACGAATACCTGCAGATTTGTGAGCTCCCAAGACTCGTAGTCATCATCAGTGCACTCCCTGGGGAAGGATGGTCTGAAGTCCACCTTCACCAGTTCCCAGTCCGAACGGTAGCTAATATGTCCAAAGACTCTGAACAAAAAGATCAAAAGTAAACTCTTACTGCAAAGAAATACCATACATCTGAGATTCAAAATTTCAGTTCTATCTTTTCCACCATCATAGTTCTGTGCTTAAAGGTACCACTTTAATTTTTCTTCCGCTTTTATTCCTCTTTATGTATAATGAGTCTAGTTAGGAAACATTTGTCAATTGCATATGAAACTTTTCAATGAAAAAATATATCTCATGTATTAGAGATTTTTTTCTCTAGCCCAGAAATTTAATTGGAAATAACCTTTTCTAATTTGGAACCCAACATTTTTGTCTATTATCTTTCTATATGAAACACACAGCTCTCAGATTTCAACAGGAAGCAGAACTAGGATCACCAGATTGAATTTCCAGCTCTGTCACTCATTCCTTGAGATTATACTACAACTTCTTCAGTTGGTTTTGTTGTGGTTTTTTTTTGTTAATTTCTACAGGTTTTAGATAGCAATTTGCTATTGTTTAAAGTCACAGCAGTATAATGAAATTTTATCAATTTCTAAGGAATACACTGCACCTACACATTGTACTGAAGAACTCAGAGTCTCCTCTTCATTTCAGATAGTCCCTTGTATAGCAAAAACCAAAAACCAGTTATAAACTGTATAAATTTTTTTAGGGGAAAACAAAAAAAAGGAAATCTCATTGCTTTAAAAACCAAGCTGCATTTTCAACGCAGCCAACATTTTCTAAATCGGAATCTTTATTTCCAAAACAAAATGGGTATGTATGACATCCAGCAACAAATTAGAAAGGATAAAGACTCTATTTGGGCAAAAGTAAAATGTATTTGTGGTTTGTATCAGGCTTATGTGACTTACTTGCCAAAGAATTTAAGGTTGATACTGAAGCCAACAATTTCTATGCAGTTCATACTGCACAGAGTTCATATTCCAAGCTTTAGTAGCGTTCTCCAAACTAATTCATTCCTTTTGTTTTGCCCTCAATTTTGTCCAAATCCAGACACAGCAGGAATGGTACAGTTTTGTTAAAAGCATTCTGCAGTGCACAGATATTTCTCTTGTCCTGAATACCAGGTTCAAAGTGGAACTAGGGTAGACCAGAAGTGAGTGAATGCTCATCTCTCTGCAGCACAGAGGCAACATCATCACACTAAGCATTTCTCCTGGTAAATGGATGTAGAGCTCTGAAGTCTACCAATGAGGCTGAAAAGTAGTTCAGAGAGATTAAAGACGTACAGTGATTTCTCCCCTTCCTTTCTGGTGTCTTTGCTTCTCATCCGTAGCAGAGAGATGCAGATATCGCTACATTATTGCCCACACTGCTCACACTGTAAGGACCTAACAAGCCATATGCATAGGAAACCACACCATCAGCAGTGCACTTAATGAAACAGAAACATATGCATTTAGTTTGTATGTCTTACTCTTTTCTTGCAAGGCTCTGAGATTAAGGGAGCTGGATCACCTAATTTCTTTCCTTCTAAATGCACCCATGGTTCAGAAGTAGAAGCAACACACGAAAATTAAAAAATGTGGCTCAGTCCACTGGCTGTATGTGCACATGTGTGTGGTCCCACATCTCTCATTGAGACCTCAGGATTTGGTTCCTTTTTCTGGTTCAGCTGGATCCTGAGAGCTGCTGTCACCATATAATCTTATTCATTGGTAGTTATATACTCAATAAAGTGACTACTTAGGTGGTCTCATGCTTTTTCCACAACGCCTGTTTCAATGACTGGGTTTGCTGACAGACATGAAGTGTCTTTTGCATGCTAAATACCTGTACCTCTATTTTAAAATCTTTGTTTCTCCATACGAGGTACTACCGTAAAGAAGACTTCACCATGTGCTTATGCAACACCTGTCTGCCTCTGTGGTAGGTGCAATACCTACCTCAGCGAATGCTTCTCTAGACACCACAAAACTTTACAAATCTATTACATTTCTTTTACTAACCCATTTATCAACTAATATGTTCAAGTGCAAGGAGCCAAGTCCTGTTAAAGCTTCACTGCTGCCTCAAGGAAAGTATTTTCCACAGAACAAATCAAATTTTCTTCATTCGTGTTAGCTATCTCAGGCAGATTAGTCAGGAAAGGAGAAGAAAGGAGATGGTGGTTTGAGTTCAAGGCAGAACAGAATAATGAAATTTTCCTGAAAGCATAAAACATAATCTCTGAAATATTATTAATTATATTTGAAATCTCATGAGGATGATTCCGAATGACTATGGCAAGGGAAACACGTTGACTATATGTATAAATACAGACACATACACACACACGTGTGTGTGTATGTGTATACATAACCAGAGATATGAAACAGCAAAATGAAGCTCAGAGACTTACAGCATTAATTTTGATATCCACAAAGATACCAAAAAAATTATTGAGCTATCTACTTCTAAGCACCTTGTAGATAATTAAAATGATAACAAACAGCTACCATGGATTTGTCAAAACCAAATCATGTCAAACTAATGTAATTTCCTCCTTTTACAGGGTAACTGGTTTAGCAGATAAAGGAAAGGAGAAAATCTAGCATATTCTGACCTTTGTTAAAACTGTTATACATTTCTAGCTGACATTGTCTCAATATAGAAAAGAAGGCATCAGTGCAGATAAAATCACTGTGAGGAGGAATGGGAGTACATATCCAGTTAGAAGAATCCATTTTCAAAAGGTAGTTATCAAACAGGGAATATTTTGAGATATGTATCACAAATATATGATGGGTCCACAGTCAATATTTTCATTAATACTCATGAACAAATAAGAAACACAAAAAAATTTTGCAGATAACACAGAAGGAAGGCAGTGGACATTGATCGATGGAAGCAATGTTCAGAAATCAATATGATGAAATACTCCAAAACCAAGCGCAAAAAGTACTTCTGGAAAAAAAAAAAAAACCCAAACTCACAACAAAGTGTTGCTGCAAAATAAGAAAGACTAATTCTAGGTCATATTCAGAAATGGAAAACAGAAGACATGGAGATAATTATTTTTATAAACTTGGCAAAAGTGGAGCCTCTGGAAGAATATCATGTCTAATTTTGGATATTTTATGCATATTTACACACCCAATAAAAATGAATTTAAAGAGGGGCAAAATGATTCATAAGGTGCTTAGAAAATATAACCAATGAAGAAAGATTGATAGAATTGGGGTTTTCTCTGGAAAAGGTAAAGCTGAGAAGTACAACAAAATGTTTTCAGCCTTGTTATAGAGTGAAGAGCTGTCCTGGAGGAAGGGCAAGAAAGAGGAACTACAAGGATAAATAAACTTAAAAGATATAGCTGCACAATTCTCTAATTCCTTCTCCTCAGTACTGGTGAAGCTACATGTGGAGTACTGGGTCCAATTTTGGGCTCCCCAGAACAAGAGAGAGATGGAAAGACTGGAGGGAGTGCAACAAAAAGCTGTGAAGGTGATGAAGGGGCTGGAGCATCTCTCCTATGAGGAGAGGTTGAGAGAAGTGGGACTGAACAGTCTCCGGGACATCCACCAAAACCTGAAAGGAGGGTCCAAAGAAGATGGAGTCAGATTGTCTTCAGGGGTGCCCAATGATAGGACTAGAGGCAACAACCTCAAACTGAAACACAGGAGGTTTTCTCTGAACAAGAAACAACATTTTTACTGTGAGGGTGATCAAGTACTGGCACAGGTACCTAGAGAGGTTGTGGAGTCTCCATCCTTGGAGATATTCAAAAGCCATCTGGAAACCATCCTGTGTGATTGGCTCTGGGTGAGCAAAGGGGTTGGACCAGGAGATCTCCTGAGGTCCCTTCCAACCTCAACAATTTTATGATTCTAGAATTCTATAGAGGTAATGGTACAAGATATTGGAGTTGTTTATTCCTCCTCACCAGAGTGAGAAATTAGATACTATCAGGATTAGAGATAGACATTAGACAAATTGGACAGATATTGTCAAGTTCCAAATCCTATAATGATAGAAAAATTATAGAAATTATTTTAGAAATTATGCAAAATCTACCAGAGTAATATGGAAGCTCCATGCAAACTATATGTGTACACAGGAAAGGCACTGCTTCAATGGGTGAACTGTAACCTTCTCCTCTGTGGATTTTTAGCAGAAGACAGAAATAACTTTTACTGCCTGTTGGTCCAGCCTCGTGCAAAAAACCCCAAGCTAACAAAAAACATAATTTCTATTATGGTTGTTCTGATTCTACAGACTGAAAACGAGGTTTTGACAGAGCACAGTAACTGCACCGCTGCAAGTAAAATCCCATAGATTCAAGAAAGTGTCCCACTACAGTCACAAACCCCAATAAAAACGCAGTCATACCGCTTTGTAATTCATAGGGCAAATTTCCTAAGGAATCCAGCGCTTTACATGCATCCAGTTTAGCAAACTGTTTGAAAAAAAAGCTTAATGATTATTGATGCTGTGCTGCAGTAGCACATGTTGCTCTATACTTGACAGAGTTTTGCAGACACATCGGATGAGTGCATTTAAATGTATTGCTAAATATCACTAGAATAAAAAAGAAGCATTTTTTCAAAGTAACAAAGGCATGCATTAAGTAGAATTCGATGGATTAGACAAAAATATGAACTACAATAAAGCAATACATAACAGCAATCACAATCTAATTGCTCAGGTGCAAAATATATATGTCGAATAAAATCATATGAATGGAACAAACTGGAACGGTTCAGCAAGTGTAACTGATGACTAGAAGTTATATATCAAGATGAGAGTAATTCATAAGCTACTAAAACCTTCCTCTTGATTAATTGTATTACATTAGAAAGCCATCAAATCAATTCTGTTGAAACTATAAAGGATGATGCTGTGACAAATAATTTTTGGAAGAAATTCCAATTACCTTCGAAATTAATTTACTTTTATTTGCAAGAATTTGGGATCCATAATTTTAACTTCAGTGTTTCAGTTGCCATAACAACTTTGTACATTTGTTCCTAGTTCATTTACGAGCCCATAATTTTTTAATTTGATTGCATCATTTGGTAGATAAGACAGTTTAA